CTTTCGGTAGTGTTATTTTTCTAGGAGACTTTCTAAGATGGGGTACGATTTCAATGACGTGATGTCTTGGTTTCGGCTGGGATAGGGTTAATTTTCTTCCTAGTAGCTGGTATCTGCTGTGTTTTGGATTTCAGATGAGAATAATGTTGATAACACAGTGATGTTTAAGTTGTTGCTAAGCAGTGTTTACACTAAGTCAAGGGCTTTTGAGCTCCTCACCCCACCAGCGAGGGAGCTGGAGGGGCACAAGAAACTGGGATGGGACACAGCCGGGACAGCCGACCCCAGCTGCCCAAAGGGATATTCCATACCATATGGCATCATGCTCAGTATGTAAAGTAGGGGGAAAACTGGCAGGGGGCTGCTGCTTGAGCGCTCGGGCATCAGTGGGTGGGTGGAGAGCAAGCGGCTGTGTGGTGTTAGCTGCCTGCTGGGTTAAACCACAGCACGTGAAGACACCTCGTGGGCAGGCTCAGGACATGCCAAGCGGTCTGTAGGAGACAGTCTGTCAGGTTTCTGTTTGCCCTGTTCATGGATGTAAAGCTCTGGTGTCGCAGGGAATGCTGGCAGTATAAAGCCGGTACAGAGCTGCTCTGGTGGGGGGTGTGTGTACCCATCTCGTTTCGTGGAAAGTGTTATCTTGTTCTTGGTGACGTGCTTTTGGTTTCCATTTACTTCCTGGAGTAATAGCTTTCCTGAGTACAAGTCAAACACAAATCCCTACTGTAGAGGATTTATTTGTAAAGTATTAGTAGCATCCTTGTCCTGAGGTTTGGCCTGGATTACTGCGAGTCAGCAGGGCTGGCCCTGTCCTTCTGGCTGGGTTTGGGTCCTGTTTCTGTGGCCTGGGTTGCTGGTGATGCATCTGAAGAGGAACTGAGCTGCTAAGCGGTGTCAACTATGTGAATTTGGTGTGTGGCCAGCTAGAGATGTCAGGCGGATAGGCTTAGTTGTTAGTAATAATTGCTTTATAACAGTTTGCATAAATCGAAACCAACATACAGTGGTAATCTGGAGAAGGAGGACCTTGGGAGGTCGTTCAGACCAGCCCTGCCCAGACCAGAGTCCTAGGGTAGAGCTTGAGTTTTCTTGTGTTTGTTTGTATTCCACTTGTTCCACTCGTTTTACCCAGACCTTACATACACCTCTTCCTTATCTGATTTGTACATAACATTTGAGATAGTAACAGGCCATTGAGACATCTGTGCTAATCGTATCCTGGGGTTCATTTGCTAAATGTTGATAAGGGTGTTTGTCTTGTGTCAGACAACGTCTGTGCCCTACAATCATCAGTTTGATGACAGAGCACGTTTCCAGGGGAAAGCTTGGTACAAAATGAGGAGCAGCCTGGGATGTTCTGTCTTGATCAGTGCACCAGCAGCCATTTGATTGGTATCTCTTGAAAGCACAGCCAGAACCGAAAAGTCTCACAGCTGGCTTTCAAAATAGGGACGTAGCGCTTGCACGCTCTACCCAGTGCAGGCACGAATCCCATCTCAAGAGTGAGACGTGCTTTGCGCTGGCCGGGAGCACTGATTCAGCGTGGTACTGCACTGGTGGAGCTACGAAAAGGTAGGCTGAGTTCCCCTAGTCCTAGTTCTGGCCAAACACTCAGGTGGGAAGGGTATCTGGAGAAGTGTTTAGGGTTATTTGTTTCCAGTTACAGAGATTGTGTTCAGGTCTCCAGTTCAGACTGAAAAAAAACTAATAAGGTTTTCTCTTTATTCATTTAACCTAGGAGATTGTTTTCTTTGTCCTTTTAGAGGTAAACACAGCTACAGAGATGCATGCTGTCTTCACCTCTGGAGTACTGTGATGCACAGGACACTGGCCAGCTGTAGGCCCCAGAAGCAATAAAGAAACTTCATTTGGTCCAATTTGTGCTAAGTTCAGGGCAACGTATACTATTAAGAAGCTACCACTATGCTGCTCTGCTTGCCCTAATCTGTTTGAAATTTGCTCTAGAATCTCATTCTTCATTTTCAAAGTGGCAGGAACAAAGGGTCTTTTGGCACTTCCAAGCCCTAGTACGGATCTGGCAAGGTGCCTTGTTACAGGAATGTTTCTTTTTGTTTCACAGGGTAGAATGAGAGCCTATCTAATGATAGGCTGTCCCTGTCTAGCTGAATCTATCCCTAGATAGGGGTGTCTAATGAGAAGCTATTTACATGATAGGCTTTTCATTTGAGTTGACCAGCTTTTCCAAGATGAGCTGACATATTTCGCAAGGGCTGAACACATTCTTTGTGAGATATTGGCTGAACATTCAATTAAAATGTTCAGATAATCAGAAATACCACTACAACTTTCTCCAGCCCAAACAGATCCATGAGCATGGCCGTGTCTAAATCTCAAGTTTTTTCTCATCTTCTGCATGAGATTTCCTAAGGTGTCTACTTATGACCTGGTCAGTTATAATCTGTTCATCGTGACTGCAGAATCTGCATTTTTGTCTCTGCTGTTTCTCTAAGTCCTCCTCCAAAAGTACAGGTGATTTCAAGATTGTTTTTTTGTTTTCAAGCATCTCAGCATTTAATGGAAAAACAAGGCTTCTAAAGAAGTACATTTTTTTTTCTACTTTTCACTGTCAGGGTAATGCTTATAGGCATTCAGAGAAGGTTGTGTTTTGTAAATATGTCTTTGGTAGCTGCTGTTGTCAGGAAAGCAAATCAAACTGGCTAGCAGGCGAACCATTGCCTCTTCATGTTGTGGCCTGCTAGAGCCTTCTCATCTTAGATCTTTCCTCCCTTTCCTTGGTGTCCTGGTTTTGGCTGGGGCAGAGTTAATTTTCTTCCTAGTACCTGGTACAGTGCCATAGTTTGGATTTAGTGTGAGAATAACATTGATAACACACTGATGTTTCAGTTGTTGCTAAGTAGTGCTTACCCTAAATGAAGGATTTTTCAGTTCCCCGTGCTCTGCCAGCAAAGCAGGTGCACGAGGAGCTGGGAGGGAGCATGGCCAGGAGAGCTGACCCAAACTAGCCGAAGGGATATTCCATACCATAGGGTGTCATGCCCAGTATATAAACTGGGGGAGTTGGCTGGGAGGGACGGATCGCTGCTGGGGTGTCGGTCAGCAGGTGGTGAGCAATTGCATTGTGCATCACTGGTCTTTTCTTGGGTTTTATTTCTGTCTCTTTTTGTTATATTCCTTTTCATTACAGTTACAATTATTCTTATTTATTATTACTGTTATTATGATATTCTATCTTAGTTATTAAACTGTTCTTACCTCAATCCATGAGTTTTATTTTTTTTCAATTCTCCTCCCCATCCCACTGGGACGGGGGGAGGCGTGAGCGAGCGGCTGCGTGGGGCTTGGTTGTTGTCTGGGGTTAAACCCTGACACTTGGGCCTGCCCTGACATTCACATACATCTATACCAGGACATACTGAAGGTGTCATTCTAAGGACTTATATGCAGCGTCCTTTTGCTGGGTGACTGCAGGACTGCCTCGATGGATGGTGCCAGTGGTGGGCACGTGGCTGGACGGGTCCCTCTGATGTAGCAGGTTGGGGTGTCATGACAGTTCCTTCTTGGTGGCATCATGCTCTCAGAGGCAGCGTGTGTTTGTTGGGCAAGAGCTAATGAGAGCCTGGAGGATTTCTGATGAGAAGACATGAATTATTCAAATGCTGGTGAAATGTATTTAGTTGTCAGCCACAGTGTAGACGCATTGTTGGGCTTTTTCTCTCCCTACCTGTTGCCAGTTGGTAATGTCTACCTGTTAGATTAAGGGAGAAGAAGGAAAGATTATTTATTCCTCTGCTTAATAGGAATGAGGAATGTGCAGTGTTTAGAAGTCAGATTTCCTCTAAATAGTAATATGCTTATTTTTCACCACTATTTTAATTCCAATGCGGAGCTCCCCAGATTGCTATAGTTCATTTGTTGCTTGCATTATAGAAAGCTGCTGTGCCTCAGGAATAAAAACATTCTTCTACCACTGAATAATGCCATAGGGATGGAACTTCAAAGCTTAACTTTCAATATCAACAGTAATTAAAAGCATGGCTGTGTAGCCCTCCCACTCTTTCTCTGTAAATTGGCAGTGTCACACAGTTTCTCTTTTAAAAACATGCAAACCAGTTGCAGGCAGAACAAACCAGCTGCTGGGGTTCACTTTCAGATTTGTACAGTTTTTAGTATTGCCAACTTCAGATGCTCAAAAAGCACAAGTTGGCCTCTTGAGACTGATAGCTGGCATAAGGAACACAATGTTTTTCAAGAATAACAAATGGTTTTTCTGGGCAGTCTCTGTGTTTTCAAGCATATCTGCTGAAGCAGGAGGAGTCAAAACTTAGCCTTGTAAGCCCCCAAAAATGCCCTGCTCTGAGAACAGTCCGACTGAAGTAGTTCAGTGGGACATCAAGTCTCACAATAACAAGAGTTGGCAACATGTGAAGTAAATGGGAATTTTGCCCACTGGCAGCAGTAGGGTTTGGAGCCAGTTGCTTCTGACTTAACTGTATAATCTTTTGTTTTAATTCTTTGAGTGGAAATTAATATGCTTCATTTTGCTCTCACAGTCATGCTGGTGGCCTCAGGAGTCATAAAAAAAAAAGTGAATAGAGTAGACCATCTTGTCTGTTTTTTTTGTTTATTTGTTTGTGTTCTTTGAAGTACAAGGTCTCAATGCCCTAGGAAGGGTCTCCCAGACCTTAAGGTGTCCCCACTCATTTATGTGTTTCATGGACTCCATAGCTTAGGAGAAATCCTCACTTTAAGAGAAGACCTGTCTTACTTTACTGTGTTTGGCTGGGATGGAGTTCGTTTTCTTCATGGTAGCTCGTGTTGTGCTGTGTTTTAAATCTGTGACCAGAACAATGCTGGTAACACACTTTTTCAGCTGTTGAAGAGCCGTGTTTGCCCAGCATTCTGTCCTTCCCTGTTTCTCACTCTGACCCCACAGTGAGTAGATGGGGGTGTGCAAGAGGTTGGGAGGGGACACAACCGGGCAGATGACCCGAACTGACCAAAGGGATGGTCCATGCTATTAACGTCATGCTCAGCAATAGAAAGGGAGAGGAGGAGGCTTGGGGAGATTAGCTATCCCTAGCTCAGGAACTGTCTGGACATGGGTCTATGCGTGGGAGGTGATGAAGGATTGTCTTTGTAGCCCTTGCTTTGTTTTCTTTCTCCTTCTGCTTCTCTTTCGCTTATTAAGCAATTTTTATCTTGACCCTCAAGTTGTCTTGCTTTTACTCTTCCTTTCCTCTTTCTGCATCCCACTGGGGGTGAGGGGGAAGTGAGCTGCCCACCTGGGTTAACCCACAGCACTCACCACAACAAAAATCTTTAGTTATATTCAGATGCAGTTGTGACCTTTACCTGTGCCAGTTAAGCCAGAGTAATAGACAACATTTTTGTTTAATGCTCACCATGCTCAGTAGACTTTATATAATAGTTCTGCAGTTAGTTCACTGGGTTTGAGTTAAAATTGTTTATGCTTCAAGAAGATGTTAGGCAATAGCAAGACATGCTGTGCTAGTCAGCACAGTGATTCTTTTGGATCATTAACTTAGCTGTCAGATTTGCATGCTTGTGTATCTCTTGTGTCTGCAAACTTGGGTGTAGTTGCTAAAGCCTGCAGCGGACATCCTGATTGTTTGAATGATCTACTGTTTGGAGTTTTGGCTGGGAAACTCCAGTGCTGGAAGAGGATGGGAATTTGTGTTCTGCTGGAAATCCGGCTGCCTAGAGCTGGGAGGGGGATGCTGCCTCCTGATGTGAAACAGGCAGCTCAGTTCTAAAACTTCTCAGCACAGTGCATGTTTGAAAGTCCTTTTAAAATGTATGTTGCAATTGGGGGTCTTTTGCTGTATTGTGGGAAAAATAATCCTTGTAAATGTCTTTCATTTGTAATTCTACTTTAAGTAGATTCCAAGGAAGAGTAAGGTAAATATAATCCTGGGTAAAAAATCCACCCTAAATAGAAGCAGAACCTTAAAAAAAAAAAAGCTTGAAATTTGACTATGATTTAGAAACCCACAGGTTCATGTGTATTCTTACATGAAGAAGCTCCTTTGTTGTTGAGCTATTTTGGTATTATTCTTGGTGAAAATAGTTTATCTAACCTTCTGATGTTAAAGAGTTGAAAGATGAAAGAATTGACAAAAATAAGACGTAGAATACTCATTTAGCACTTGCTTTTTATTCTTTGCACTGTTGCTCTATATTTTTCCTTTTCTTTACCTTGGTAGTGCTCACACCATGTCGTGTAAAAAAAAAAAAAAAAAAAAAGTGCCACTTACGCTATGAGTACACTTGATTTGCTGTTTGGATAAGTAGTATTTTTAAAATATACTGTATGCATATTGCTCAATGAAGTGACGGTTTAATTTGCCTAGGATAAATGTTATAATTACTCCTTTAATGTGAGTGATCATCATACCTCCCTCATGTAGATGAGACCTATTTTTCTTCAGTTTAGTTCATAGCTGGGAGTTTATCCTTCCCTGGAATTAGGGAGGTGATGTTTGGATTGCAGACATCACCATAGAGTGTTTATTTGTTTAATTAAATAAGACATAACATCTGACAAGTCTGTTTCCAGTCAGCCTGAAGCAGCCTGGATCTGAGCTTTCTAGTTGCACCTGGTTCTGCTGATTCTCAATGTTTCAGGTTCATCACAAGGAGTCCTCTAGAGAAAATAGGTCAGTAGTGTTTTTTGGTTTGTCTGTAGGTTCATATACTTAAAAATACCTATTTGCTCATTGGGAAGCGATCTCACAGATTGCGTGTCCTGGTTTCAGCTGGGATAGCTGGTATCTGCTGTGTTTTGGATTTCAGATGAGAATAATGTTGCTAACACAGTGATGTTTAAGTTGTTGCTAAGCAGTGTTTACACTAAGTCAAGGGCTTTTGAGCTCCTCACCCCACCCCACGAGCGAGGGGGCTGGAGGGGCACAAGAAGCTGGGACAGGGCAAGGACAACTGACCCCAGCTGCCCAAAGGGATATTCCATACCGTGTGGCATCATGCTCAGTATGTGACGTCGGGGAAAGCTGGGGGGGGCTGCTGCTCGGGGACTGGCTGGGCATTGGTGAGCAGGTGGTGAGCAATTGTGTTGTGCATCACTTGTTTTGCATGTTTTAATTATACTAATATTTTTATTTTATTTTCATTTTCTCTCCTATTAAACTGTCTATATCTCAACCTGTGAATCTTACTTTTTTTTCCAATTCTCTTCCCTTATCCCGCCAGGGGCAGGGGGAGTGAGCGAAGGGCTATGTGGTGTTTAGCTGCCTGCTGGGTTAGACCATAACATTATATTAGCGCGTTGTAGAGTTACAGGTTGTTACTGATTTTGTTCCAGGCCTGCTAATACCTGGATATTAAGTAAATCTGTGCATTCCTTTTTAGTCAATTAATCTCATAGTACTAAGATTTGTGAGGTTCATACAGGTTTTTGCAGATGTCCTGGGTTTGGCTGGGATAAATTTAGTTCTTGCAAGAAGCCAGGAGGCGACACAGCCAGGATAGCTGGACCATACTAGCCAAGGGGCTATTTGATACTATATGACTACTATATGATGTTATGCTCAGTATATAAACTGGGAGAGGGGAGAAGGGATCGTGGCTCGGGAACGGGCTGGGCATTTGAGTTCCAGGTGGTGAGCAACTGCACTGTGCATCACTTGCTTCCTATATTATTTTATTATTAGTAGTAGTATTTATTCTCTCTGTGTTGTCCAGTTAAACTGTCCTCGTCCAATCCATGAGTTTTTTACCTTTTTCTTCTGATTCTATCTCCCATCCCACCAGGGTGGGAAGGAGTGAGTGAGTGGCCACATGGTGCTTAGTTGCCAGCTGGGCCTAAACCACAACAGTGGGTTTTTGCAGATAATGGAAATGGCTTTTAATCATAAAATCTGTCTGTGAAGAATGATTCCACGTGTCCTGGGTTTGAGTGAGTGGTGGGGTTTTTGGTGGCAGGGGAGGGGGCTATAGGGGCAGCCCCTTGTGAGAAGCTTCTTGAAGCTCCCCCAGCTCCAAGTCAGCTCCACCTCTGCACCAAAACTGAGCCAATCGGCTGCGCCTCTGCGATAACGTATTTAAGAAGGGACGTGGTGACGGGCAGTGGGACTTGTGAGGAGGAGTTGCTGCAGCTGCGTGAACACCAAGGTCAGTGGGGGAACGGAGGAAGAAAGGAGGAGGGAGGTGTGCCGGAGCAGAGACCCCCCTGTATCCTGTGGGGAGACGGCAGGGCGGCCCCCCCTGCCACCCATGAAGATCTGCGGTGGAGCAGACACTGATTTACGGCCTGTGTTTTTTGCCTGGGTGATCAAGGTGCTGTGCCCAAAGAAGGACAGGGTCTTCTGGGAAAAGGCAGCCCCGCTGTTGTAGTCCAGTGCTGGGAGGATTGCAGCATGCGGGGGAGTCCCATGTCAGAGCAGCTCGGGAAGGGCTGCAGCCGTGGGAGGGACTCCGGTTGAAGAAAGTTGGTGCCCCACACCGGAGCAGTGTGGGGAATGCTGCGGCCCATGGGAGGGACTCACGTCAGAGAAAGTTTGTGGAGGACTGTCTCCTGTGAGAGGGGGACCATGCTGGAGCAGGGGGAACAAGTTCCATAAGCTCCCCCCACTGAAGATGGAAGAAGTGGCAGCGCTGACTGCACCCCCCATTCCCTGCCCCTGCGCCACTGGGGGAGGAGGTAGAGATATCGGGAGCAGAGCTGAGCCCGGGAAGAAGGGAGAGGTGGGGGGAAGGTGTTCTCAAGATGTGGCAATGCCTGTCACTGTCCTACTCTGTTAAGTGTTATTGTTAGTGTCTGTAATAAATGTATGTTCTTTTTTTCTTCCCCTAACAAGTCTGCCTTTTGCCCTTGACCATAATGGGTGATTTTCCCCTCCCGGTCCTATCTCAAATCCCAAGCCTGGCTCATTTGTCCCTTCTCATCGCTGGGAGAGAAGGGATGTATTGAGTGGCTGCATGGTGCTCAGTTGCGCTCTGAGCTCAAACCACGACACCATGCAAGGCTTTAGCATTGTTTTTTTCTCTTGTCTGTGACTTTGTTCTGTTTCTCAACATACATGTTTTTCTTTCTGTCTGTTCCCTTTATCTAGCTACCTGACCATGTGATTAGTTTTATGTAGTGAACCTGAATTTACAATTGTAATGATGAAATATTTTTTTCAGTCAGTTGCAGTTGATGCCTGTTTCAACCTTCTGTTTTCTTCAGAACCTGATTCAAGGTCCTCATGCACTATTAATATACTTATGTTACAGTATTTTCATGGAGTAATCAAGTTTCAACGCAGTTTTGTATACATTGAGTTATTGAATGTATACCCAGAGAGGCTGGACAAGAAAGTCAGAAAGATAAATAAAAAGCAAGTAAGTCAGTTTTGTGTTTAATTAATTGAGATGTATAGCTTCGTGTATTTCTTAAGCATATGAACTGTGTATGTTCTCTTGGATATTTCCTCCTGCATTTAATGTTTGTGTACACATTTAAGTAATTTGGAATCTTAATTTTAAAAATACAGTCTAAGACTCGAGGAGAAGAACTGGAAAAAAATGCATACCAGTGGTAGATCTGGTAGCTGAGGTTGATTTAAAAATTGAATGGGAAGTTGAGACATCAACAGTAAAGATGAGGTTATCACCTGAGTTATATTTTACTATTCCAACTGCAGCAAACAAAAAAAGAGTTGCTCTTTCGTCCTCTTTTTCAAATAGGCAAAAACTAAGATGAAAATTTTGGTGAATTTTAGGGAAATAAGTGTTTCCTAATTCAATGCTTCTGTTTGATTATTATTTTTTTTTATTTTAAATTAGGATGGATGCCATGGAATATGCACAGGTTATGAGACAAGAAGGGAACCAGGATTTTAAAAATGGGAATTACTCCTTGGCCATTAGAAAGTACGATCAAGCTCTACATATGCTCAGTTGTTTAATGCAGTGGGTCCCGTAAGTATTCTTGAATTACAAGATGTAAACCATAAGACAATTCTGAAATTTTTACAGTACTACAGCTAACTCAGAACTGTATTTCTTGCCCTGATGCCTGATGTTCTTGTATCTTTTGTCACACTCTTTAGTGTATCAGTTTCCTAATTAAAGAGGAATTGCTGTTCCTGACATATACGTGGGAGATTAGTTACTGTATTCTGAATATTTTTATATAAACATCAATTATAAATTAATGTAATTAAAGCTCAAATTAATTTTCTATAATCTATGTTGGTTTCTGTTAAATTACTTCTGTTTCTTAGCTGACATGCTGTAGGATTAATCTTGATGTGATTCTACCATGTACTGGTCATACATGTGGCCTGTCATTAAATGAGTCGTTGGATTATCTTTAAAATGATTCAGGCAAGTTATTTCGTCTTTCTTGGCATTCTCAGATTTGTTAAAAAATAATTTTTCAGCAGAAGAGTTCTTTGGGTATTTCTTTCCAAGTGTTAGGTCCTTGTTTTTATTAGTTAACATCAGTTGCTAATGATTAAATAGTTGAGTGGGGCTTCTTCATACCTCAGGGATCTGCTCCTGAGCGTCTCCTTTCCCCTTGCCAGAGGTGGCCTTGTCAGGATATGCCTGCATGCCAGTGTGTGCTCTGTACACGTTCAGTGTAGTTGAAGTAACCTTCTTGAGTGTAAATTAGTAGATAGTAATAAGGTGAAGGATGCAGCAATGTGGTTTTCCAGGCTCCCCAGTACCCTGTGTCCTGTCATTTGTGTGCAGCTCTTTCCAGAAACTCTCTTGGATCCAGCAGATGCTTTATATACTTTAATATATATCTGTTCTCCAAAAGAAATTTCTTTATTTCTTAGCTGGTGTAAATGTGAATAATACTGTTGACTTCATCAACTGGTGATACAGTAAAATGAGTTTAGGTTGTTTTTTTGGTGACCAAAATGCTTTTAGTGTTCTTTCCATCTAGCCGCTTCCACCTGTGTGTCTGTTTTCCTCCACTCTTGGCCACTGGCTTTCACTGAGCCATATCTAGGTGTGTTGAGATGGTCTAAACTCTTTCTAAATCCTCATACTGCGTTATTCCAGTGGGTTGGTTTTCTGCTGCAGAAGAGACTGGGGTACCACTAAGAGATCCTTTAGAATGTCACTTAGATTTTTGTAGCTGATGTTCAAATGATCTTTATTTTCTACAACCCCATTTTTACCTCTAATTTTGTTAGGTGGATGACACGTAGACTTCTTTTCTCGTTGCTAACTATAAAGTGCGATGCATCCTTTTTCAAGCAAATAAACAGTTATGCTAAAAAAATTTTCAGGTGTTCCAAGGACATAGCTGTGTTACACTGCAACAAATCAACTGCCTTGTACAGTCTTGGTAAATGGAGAGAAGCAGTGGTTTCAGCCTGCCAGAGCTTACACTGGGATCCGGAGTATGTTAAGGTATTCAGATGTTAAAGCTGGCAGTTTTTGCATGTCTTACATTTTAAAACAGGTGTCGATATCTGCCTTTTCTTGTGTTTTGGTTTTGAGGTGTGATAAACAAATAGCATAAAATTCCAAAATCAATGTCTGGCTCTGTACACGAGCATTGGAATTACTACTGTAATAGTACTTTTAATAAAATGAAGCAGCTCACTTTTGCACCAGGAGGTGCTGGTTCTTTCTGGGTCCCAACAAGAGGCACCAGTCCTTTCAAGAAAGATAACTATTTTATTAATATCACCGATGGGGTGATAGCAAGCAATAAAATCTTATGTGCCCTTGTAATGCTGGAGACCCTGGGATGGCGCAGCACCAGCCAGGTCTCTGCTCAGGCCACGGCACGCTGTGCAGATCCTGCCTGTGGTGTAGCTCACCAGCTCTGTGTTCACTTGCGGTCTTACAGAGCCTGGCTCACAGTACAGATCCATCAGTCACTGGCAGCAGTCGGGTCTGGGATGGGGACTTAGCTTTGAAGGCTCTCTTGGGTAGTGTGCCCTAATATTCTTTACAGGTTCATAAGAACAGTACGTGGTGACCAAGGTCATGTTGTATTTTCAGTGGACAGAACAATACAGTCTACATATGCTTGTGATTGCATTGCAATGAGCAAAAAATAAGCATTGACTTAAATACTCATGTTAGGAATAAGTAGCGGTTGTACAGTATTTATCATAGAGGCATATGCTTGGATTGGCTTTTATGTACAATAGTCATCTGGACTAACCACTACAGACTCCCAGAGACTGTAGCAGAAGGTACTTGATTTATATATGGTCAAATTGCATGCAAATACCAATTTAATTTGTGCTATATTGCAGCATGCCAGATAGCTGGTTTGAACAAACTGACACCACTGTGACACTGAACCAGTACAATCTAGTTCAGTGGTGAATATAAACATGTTCAGCTGCCATTGGCTGAAGATTATTATATGCATTGTGGTAAATACTGCAAAATGCAGTGACATGGGGACATAAACAGATATTCTGGACCTTGTGATAATGACAAAAAAATTCCTGTCCAGAGGATGTTAAAATACAGTTGCTAACAGTATGTTCTTCATCCTGTAGTTATTTTCCAGGTTTTATATTCCAGGATTTATCACTCTTAATATCTGGGTTGATATCAGTAGCTTACTGTGAATTTCAAGGGTTGTTTATTGCATTTTTTTTATCTGTATATAAGAAGCTGTAAAAATAGTACTGCATGTCATTTTTGTAGCATAATTAGAGAATTTAGGAAAAAATTATAACATTTTCTAGTAAAGATCTCTGAATATTTTTCCAGCAATGGTCTCTCTTGTTCTTTTTTTCTCAGGCTTACTATAGAGCTGGCCACTCATTGATCATGTTATCAGACTCTTATGAGGCGATTTCTATGTTTCATAAAGGTTTGATTCTCCTGAGTGCTTCTGCAGATCGAACTCAGGTTGCTGATTTTGTAGCTGGAATCTTCATAAGTATCAACGGTAAACTCAAATGAAGACCTTAATTTTTCTAAGAACCTTTCAGTAGTGAGGACAACACAAGTCCTTGGTAGGGCATCCTTCATGAGATTGTTCATTTGGTCTTTAGTGCCTCAGAAGTATTTGAGGGTTATGAATATGTTGAGTGGCCTAATCAAAAGGATGTGGTGAACTTGGTCCAGTTTGTAAACAGCAGATGCCAGCAATCCGAAATCACTGTGCAGGGGAGTGTGCTATCTCACAACAACATGTCAATTGTGGAATAGTTAGAAAAAGTAAAAATTTTGTCAGGGAGGCAAGGTTGGACACTTGGAGCTCCAGACCCCTAAGGCTTTAGTGGCTTTTGTCCAACCCACTCAGCTTTTCTTTTAGCTGGGTAGATTTGAAAATGATTAGAAGATACTCAGCTTAAACTTGAGTTTACAGTGCAGTGTATTTCAGTGGAGGAGGGACTTTCCCTCAGCTAGTAATTGGCAGCAGTGAAGAGGGGGAATTTGGCCTTTCTGTGGCACTGTGTAGGTTGCTTGGAGCAATGTCCACCCAGTGTCTCCCTCCCCTCTCCTCAGTCTCTCCTCCTCTACTTGCTTTTTATTTTTTTTGTCTGGTTCGCAGGCTTTGACTGATGGGGCCTGCAGGCATGCCAGGAGATTTCGGGTTGTGCACCTGCTGCATTTACTTGAAATTGTAGCTCCATGTTAAGGACTTTGATTACCTTTAGCAGTGTCTGTATCTGAGCGCACCCACAAATGGAAGAGCCACCGTGAGGTTTCCAATGTCTTGGGGTTTAGAAGTGTTTCTTGAGGGCAGGGATTATTTTTGTTTTTAACTTGTTTAATGAAGACTGACTGCTGATAATGAGGTGCCACATCAGTTGGGTGGTCAGGGACACTTAAGACCCCATTTGGCATTCTCCTGGGTTTTAACAGGCGTTAAAATTGTCACTGTGCAATTAAGTAATTTCCTTGGACAACCCAACTTTAAAAGTGCTGTGTATACTAAAGAGTTTTCTTAATTCTTGCAGATGAACGAGTCTTTCCACCAACTTTTCCCCCTGCATATGATTATATTTTCAGCGCCAGGTTTGATGCGCTGATTTGGCAAGCGGTGATAGAAAGGTTGGCCCAGAAAGGGAAGTGGCGGGTAAGTCTGTCACTGCGTTACCTGCTGCTGCTCACGTCTTACCTTTTTGTGTTACCTTTAGAATATTAAACAGTGAATACTTATTCTCTCTGGTTCAAATGTCTTGATTTTTTTTTTAAGACTTGAAAAATACTTTCAGTGATAAATTATTTCTGAAATTAATTTCTTAAAGGAATACAAAGAACTTGAAACACCACATGACTCTTGCTGTTGTCTCTGTTACAATTATGGTGCCATCTACAGTCATAATTTTTGAAAGAAAGCAGAGGAGGGAAGAGTGTTTATTTGGGGTCCTTTATACTTTTCCTTCTGTATGGCAGGCTGGATTTTCAAAGCTGTCTGTGAAAGACCCACAAATAAAGGACTATCTCAGTGGAAGTATGTGGTTGTTAAAAAAAAAAAAAAATAAACAGATCATTTAGAAAGATCACCTGAAATTACTTTAAGCCTCTTTTTTCTGTAGTGACTGTGTAAAAAAAAAAAAAAAAAAAAAACCAAAACCAAAAAAACCCACACACAAACAACACCGCCACCAAAAAATAATAATTGTTCATTGTCACAATTATACCTGTAGTGGATGTTGTTGGTGGGGCGCCGGCAGCGGGGGCCGCTGTGGGGAGAGGCCGGGCCGCCCTGTGCTGGTTCCAGCCGGCTCCAACACCACACAGCTCGGTGCCATTGGCAAACTTGCCAAGTGATTGAGTGCACCACGCCATCCCACTGTGTCACTGATGAAGATATTATATGGTATGGGACTCAACATGGACACTGTTCATTACTGGTTTCCACTTGGACTCTGAGCACTGACTATGGATGGAGCCAGCCATTTAGCCAATTTCTTATCTGTCCATCTATCAAACTCATATCTATCCAATTTAGAGGTAAGAATGTTACGGAGAGACTGTATCAAAGGCCCGACAGAAGTCTGGATAGATGACATCTGTAGTTCTTCCCTTGTACTCTGGTGAAGCTAGGTGGGTTTTCAAGGAGCAAGTTGAAGTTTTTAGGGAAAATGAGAAAACGGGAAAAGATGCAGCATGTGTTTCTTGCTTTCTGCTCAGGATGTTGGTGTAGCTGGGGAGCCTCATCCCCGTGAACGTAAAGGTCCATTCCTAAAGCGAAAGGCCAACATTAATTCAGTTGGAAAATGGAAAGGGAGATTCAGTAATCTGTTACAATCTTAAAAAAAGATCTGAAATGTTGTTAGCCCCTGCTTGCTTTCCTACAAGATCTGATGAGGAAAAACAAAGTTTCCAAGTGTGCTTATAAGATCTCTAATGTTTCTTTGTTTGTTTGTTTACCAGTCTTGTCTGTTATTGTTGTCTGAGAAGAAAGAGTTGCCCACCAATCTCAGGGTCACCCAGTTATCACTGAAGAATCTCTTTGAGGTAAAGTAACATCCTTTTTTTTTTTCTTATGTCTATTTCTTCTTCCTGTTTGCTTTAGTGAGAGATTTTTCCATATTGTGTGCAGGGCTAAAACAGATCAAAGAAAATAAAATGGAAAATAATATGTGGACTTTGTATGATTATGTTAAATCATCTATTTTGTGCCTTTTCATTTGAAAATTTAAAAATCCTTAATTTGCATAATTTCTGTATGTAATCTAATTTTTCTTCTAATTCGATCAAAAGTCACGCTTCTAACCTGACAATTTAATGCTGAAAAATGTCTGATATCAGTTAAGTTGGATATATTTTTCAACCAGGAGAATTTATGATCTACACAGGATAGGGTATTTTTATACTGCTAGCCTGTTTCTGGACTGCATCATGGTGCGGAGTATGATTACAGGGAGTTGAGCTGGGTGCAGTGTTGGAATTTTCCCTTCCCTCAATGCACCAAGTTTTTGGTAGATTGCTTTATACCTAGGCAGCAACTGCTAAACTTTCTCCCTAAAGCCTTTGACGCTTTCCAAATGACTTGGAGAATTTTGGCAAGATGGAAACACGTAGTCACAGACCAAGGAGCCACAATTCCTAGTGCCTTTCACCGAGATGATGGCATCTACAGACAGCAGATCTTTATGTTGCTCTTCTGAAACTCACTCTTTTCCTTATCTTGCGATTCCTCATATTGTGCATCGTTTGGGAACCTCCAAAGCTTTCTATGCTGGCAGGATAAAATAAAATCTTCCAGCTGTCAGAAACTGCCACGCTCACGCGTGCTTTGCTGCTGGTTGGCCGTGCCTGCCTGGTGCATGTTCTGGGCCCTGCACGCTGGTACTGGTGCGAGCCAGGTGGCCTTGTAGGGCTCTCTGCTGCTTGCCCCTGCCTTTGTGCATGTGTGTCCCACCAAAACACTCTGAATGTATGAAGGGGCGTGCAGCCTTTGCTTCTGGCCCCCGGGGAACCAGGGTGTAGCTGGAGGCCAACTGCGAGCCAGGAGCTGCTGGGAGTTCACCATCTCTGTAGCTTGGGAACAGCTGGTGCCTGTAGCAGTAACACACCAACTTTCTAAAGGCATTTCAAAGTGTATGTGCCTGAGACCGCACAGTGGGTGCCCAGCCTGTTTCATATTGCACTTAAGTAAAGCATTTCTTACAGACCATTAAAAAAATTCTTCTCTGTATTATTTTTTTTTTGTTCTATTCTCCCATTTCTTTGTGTGTCTAAGTTAATTAACTATAGTTCTGCTGTATGTAACCTTTTTAAAAGATATGGTTACACATTCATTGAGAAATTCCATTAGGCTTTATGGTGAAGTATACTAGATTTTTTACAGTGCTGTGGTTTTCCTGGTGGAAGCTTTAGCAGATGTTAACTGTAGGCTACACAGTACATCTGCTTGGTATTTACTGGCTGGCAAATAAACAGTTTAGGGCATATTGATGGAATATCCCAGAGTTTGCCATTTGGCAGCTACAGTGCTTGTGATACTTTTGTCACAATGATTTCAGGTTGAGGCTTTTTCTATAAATATGTTTCAGTCAGGTGCCTGACAGAGTGAGCGGGAGTGATTCTGGAAAAGAAGGGTAATGCAAAGGAAAGAAATCAACATCAGTTCTTAAGCTTGTTTATAGTGATAGCAGAAGGATTAGTGGATGAATATATGCAAGCGTGCCTTCATTAGCTATCGTTAGGCTGTGTTGGTGCCTGCAGAGTAGCCCATATGGGACTTTAACCACCCGCTGTCATCCCTTGTGTGTTTTGCTCAGTTTTTTGCAGGAAGGGAGGGTGGGCCAGGATTTGGTCCTGGATCAGCCATGCCTGTGTCCAGGCAGCAGCATGGCTGTGGTGGGGACAGAGGCATGAGAGCTTCAGCTTAAAGCAGCTCCCAAGCGAAGCTGCCCACTGCTGCTGCTGTGGTTTGAAGCTCTTAGCAGCACCCTGGCCTGGGGCACAGCAGCAAAGCAGTCCTGCAAGGGGTGAATGTGCTCCTCACACTGACTGTAAAGCATGGCAGCACAGTAGAGGACACAGGTAGGCTGTCTTAGCAAAAAATCTTCCTTCCTAGGCAGGCAAATCAAAATGCCTCATTGAGAGAGGAGGATAAAAGTGGGATGCATTTGCAAAATAGAATGTCCTTCGTTGTTGAGTTGGCCCCACTAGTCTTAGCTATTCTAGTGGGTTTGTTGTGCATGCGGAAAACTGAAGAATCAAGACGAAAGATCCCTAAGCACTGCTTCTTTTCAGCAAAAATTAGAAAATGTGGCTTTCTGACAACTTAAACTTCCCCTGCTGCCACTACATTCTCCCTGTAATTTGTTGTATTTTAATTTTGTAACTGTGCGCAAACAGTAATTCTTGCCAGTCAAAATTTGTCATGAGGTGTTAGAAAAAAAGATTTATTTGTGGATGTTGGAAGCATGTGTGAAGACTGCTATTTAAAAAGATGACTGGCACAAACGGAGAAATTATGTCTGAACACTGTTTCCGACCACCTCCTCATGTCCTGATCCTTCTGGCATATTGTCTCAATTTCCATCTGAGCTTCCTCTGCCCACCTCCAGAGTTCCTCATATTACTTGTACCCCTTGTAGACTGTGCTTCATGTTCATTAAGTCTTTGCTAGAACATCCCTTTTTCAGTTCAGCTGCCTTCTGCTCAGGCTGTGTGCTTTCAGTCTTGGTCTGTAAGCTTCCCTGTAAATTCCATACTTTTATCAGATCACCTTCTAGGAATTTATCTGGCCAAAATTCTGTCTCCTAAGGCTTAACACCTTCTCTTTGTGCGAGCAGTCATATTATCATTGTTGTCTTAATAGCACTGGCCAGGTTATTCCTGAGCTGGATGAGAGCAGGGCTTTGTCTTGCTCTATATCCATTGGGTTCCTGAGCTGTAAAAGGACTGGTTACCTGAGTTCCCTAAACCTCCTGCCAGTCTCCTTTTTCCCAGTTTCAAGTATTTCTCCAGTCTTTTCTTGCTTTGGGGTAATTGCTTGCATAAGCTGCCTCATCCAAGCTTAGCAGGCACAATATCCAGTTACAGCCATATATGCACAGTATAGATACAGTAACATTTAACAGACAAGTGTAAGGCTGAAAGTTGCAGTCAATTACAGAGAAGAAATGTAGAGAGACTTTAGGTTCAGTGCTGTTCAGACCAGGACAAGATTCTATTTAGGATTCATTAACATCTCATAGGAGAAGAGTTTTCGTTTTGAGCTTCTACTGGAATTGTTGCATATATAATAAATGTTTCATTTTACGGCAGATATGACTTGATTGTTATAATTCCACTGAGTCTTGCCATAAAAAACATGGAAATAGGATTTAAAAATAAATGTAAAAATAACATGTTGTAATTGTTCTCTTTGTTACCAGACTTCGGAGTTGTATGGTCATGGTGAGAAGATGCAAGAAGTAGCAGAGTTAGCCAAGTGGCTAATTTCCATTGGGGCGAAAGTTGAAACCATTGGAGTGTATCTGCTTCATGCCGTTATCAGACTGTGTATCAAAGCAAGTGAGTGACATCTGCAGCTAAAATAAAACAATGGTGGCCTTCATCAGAGAACTGACAGCTAGAGCTTTTTAATTTTTTTTTTTTAATAAATTAATGGGATCGGATCATCTAGGTACAACATTTTTAAAATAGTGTCTTATTGGCACATGCAAGGTTATAAACACTCTCTTTGATTATCTGTGCCTGATAGTGGTGCAAACCTGATATGTTTGTTCTCTTCTGTGGTTTGAAGTAAAAGGTGTGATTGGCGTGGGTCTTTCATGACCTGAATATATCAGCTTTGGTGAAAATACACTGTTTCTTCCTGCCACCTCAGTGTGGAGCAACAATTTCTATAGGTGCTAAAGAGTCATGAGTCAACCTCAGATTTGCACTTTCTGCAAGTCAGCGAGAACACGGCATCATGTCTCCCACAATGCAGCTGGCTTTTTACCATGATTTCTTTCACATATTTCTTCCCTCTCCTACTCCCCATCTTCGAGAAAAGGTTTTGTACAGATAAATCTTGCCCCACTCCATAGGGAACAAAAATCAGGATCTCTTTCTGCTGTATCTCTGTTTACCATTTATAACAAGTGGGGTCTTTTTATCATTCTAGGAAAGAACCATCTCTTCAGGTGGTTATTGACTCAGAGGCCAGACTTGAAGGATAGGATCAACCAGCAAGACAGAGATGGATGCACTCTTCTGCATATTGTGGCATCTTCCAGTGAATATTCCCAGAAACGCAGTAAATACAATTATTTTTTCTATGCGTGTGGTGTTTTATTTTAACATGGAAAAATGAATAATGGAAGAAAATATCAGACCCTAGTGTTCACTATTTCATGCTAAGGAAGAAAATGAGAAAGTCTTTTGATCTGAATGTAGACTTTGTAATGGTATATAATATTTAAACATTTAAACAATTCCCTTTTAAAATTGGATACCAGATTTGTGACCATTTTCTTTGCTATTTGGTTTGGCTGGTTATGGTTTTCCCACAAGTATGCTGCAGTTTTTAGAGCCATAGAAGTTACCTTTTAAAGTTTGATGTGCCCTTAAAATCATGTTAGACCACCTGGAGAACTATCCTGTTCTTTTAAATAGGTGAAGATTTAAAACCTAAGTAGCAGTGTACCTTGTCAGAAGACGAAAATTAAATGCTTTCCTTCACGTTTTCTGTAGGACTTGTTTTATCTTGGCCTGGCTTTTTTTTTTTCTTGTGTTTCTTACTCTGCCCACTAGATGGCAAAAGGAAATAAGCATTAATGCCAAGGTAACACCAGACTTCTAGGTCATTAAATGAGATGACTTTCTGGTGGTTTTCTTTAGTAGTATGAATGACATGTGCACAACCTATATCTAAAGAATTTTATTTTCTGGAAAGATGTAAGACCTCTTCTGCAGCAGTTCTGTCTGTTGCTAAATGCTTCCTGCATTTCTAGAACAGACTGTTCATTTATTAAAATTTATTAATAATTATACAGTATATATATTATATAGATAGTATATAATTGAATATTAATTTATTTATTGAAGTTTATTTATTTATATTTATAATAATATATTATCTATAGATTATAGAGATATTTATTTATTAAAGTTTATGTCTTTATATAGTGTGTTCATATAAAAATATATAGTATATGTTCACTGGCCCAGGGTGCCCAGAGCAGCTGTGGCTGCCCCCTCCCTGGAAGGGTTCAAGGCCAGGTTGGACGGGGCTGGGAGCCCCCTGGGCTGGGGGAAGGGGGCCCTGCCCGGGGCAGGAGGGGTGGGATTGGATGATCTTTAAGGTCCCTTCTAACCCAAACCATTCTGTGATTCTATATATTATATGTAGAGTATACTTATAAATATATATAAATGTACATATAAAAAGAAGCCCTTGCACCCATCTGTTAACAAAAAATAATCCCTAAAGCAGCTAGAATGGTAAGGCTTAGACAAAGCAAGCCAGACATTTGCGTTAGCCTGCATCATTTTTTCCTCATCTGGGTTTTGCCGTCGGCCCGTGCGGTGGCGCGCCGGGGGGACGTGTGGTGGTCCAGCACTTCCCCGCTCGCCGCCGCTCCGTCTTCTCCCCCGTGACGTGGTGGCTCGGTGCTCCCGCGCTCTCCCCGCTGTCCTGAGGGCACGGCTTGTAGGGAACGTGCCTCTTCCAGGCAAGAGGAGGACAGGCAGCTGCGCCCAGGGCTGCAGATCCCCCTGGCAGCCCAGTGAGACCTACTACGGAGCGAGCATGTTGTCTTCCAGAGTATTAGACACCGTGTCAAGGCTTTAAATCACTACTGTATTTCTTGTGTTTACGTGCAATTTGTAATGCTTGCTGTGAAATGCTATAGAGGATAGTAGTTTCTGTTGAAAGCAACGGTACCTATCGTTAGTCAAGCTAGACATCTTTGTTATAAGGCTCATTACCAAGAAAATCATGTATTTTATGTTGCATGGGAAAGAAACTCAGTGCCTAGCTGTGTATATTCACGCCTGAATATGTGAAATATTCTGGTTTATTGAGTCACCTTCCAAGCAATAGCAAAATCCCTTCCTTTTTTTTTTTTTTTTTTTTTTTTTTTTTTCTTTATGTACAGAGCAGTTTGCCTAGTGCCTGGAGAACAGGGTTGGGGCATAAGGGAGGAGGTGAATTCCACATACTGCCTCTGGCCAGTGAGATGCTCATGAGGCACCCAGTCACTTTGTTTCTGTTCTCCCATTTTCCAATTAATAATAATGAAGATAGAGTTCTATATTTTTTAAGGTTTTTTTTGGGGGGAAAAATACCTAACAGTACCTCATTCTTATGACATCAGAAAAATTCAAGTGTGTTTTTTTTTTTTTTTTTAATTATGCTAGAAATCGTACCAGGAAATTAAAAATCCAAAGGAAAATAGAACAAAACCCCTGAACAATGAGAGTTTTTCTTCCTCTAATGTTTATTCATGTAATACCTTAGGCCAAACAGAAGATGTGATCATGCTCCTGAATTTTGGGGTCGATCCCACTGTTCCAGATGCACGGTCAAGATATGTCATAGATATCTTGAAAAAGAACAAAAACTTCGATGCTGTAAAAGCAGTCAGCAATCACATTGAGAAACACACTTCCTCTGAGAAACGGACAGGTACTACACAGACTGTGTGCTTTTCCTGCTTTAAAATTATAACCTTTGGATACAGAATTTATTTGTGATTGGTAATAATAGGTGGGTTTTATGTAACTTTTCCTGTGAGTTGTCACCCTGATCTGTCAGTCAGTGATGAACATTTTGTCCATGCCTGGAGGTGTCTGCTCTATAACTGATGTTCTTAGTATATCATGCAATAAGTAACTACAAGTTGTTCTACATTACTATAAGCCACTATTTTTTTTCCTCACCTTTAACATGAGGTTCCCCTGGCCATAAAAACTGCTTCTTTTTGATGCTTTTTCAGTTTTAACCTTTTACCTTCACTTTATTTTTTGGAAAATAAAATGTTTTGTTAAAATATTGGTGGCATATTTAAAATGTTTTTAATAACAAAGAATATTGACAAAAAAAGAGAAGCTCTGAAATGAGGAAAATGTGAGTGAAAAGTTGTTGGCTTTTTTAAAAACAAAATAACATTTTAGTAAGAGCTCTTTGTTCACACAGTTTTAGTCATCTTTGATTTATGTCACTGATAGGCAGCTAAAACTCCGGTATTACTTGGAAAGTTTTAACTTCTGCACGTGTTAAGGGAAAAGAGAAGCAGAGCGGATTACCAGACTAAAATTACAAGAACCTCTCATAACCAAAACAGGGGAGCTGAAATTTAGTTACACTCTTAAGTATGGGGAAACTTCAAAGTACATTTTAAAAATTATTAGTGATATTTCTAGGCAGTTTGCAAAGGACCTTTTGTCATATAGAAAAGCACAAATATTAATTGTACCAGTGCTAATACGAGATTTCATGAACTGGGGTGATAAACTGGTTTCCAGTTTGCTTTTGTATAGTAGCCTGTCAGTTCTGAAAAAGATTCTGACTTGTCTGGATTCTCCATAATTTTCCATTCTGGAAACTAATGTATCAAGTGTGATTGCCCAAATAATGGGAATTTCCTCTTTCATGCCAATACATGAGAATGAGAAAACATAAAAATTGTACAATACCACCTCGGCGTGACAGCATCAAGACTGGCTAACCCTTAATATAGTTTCTTTTCTGCCTTAAAAAAATGGAGCAAGCCTGAGCAGCCTGTGCTGCGGTGTGGTTGGAGAGATGATAGCTGGGGCAGGAGGTGGGGAGCTGGCTCCCCTCGGGGTCCCTGCGGGAGGCACCTTCTCGGCAGCATGGGGCTACAGCTTGGATGCTGCTTACCTCCCAGGTAACCTCTGAAAGAGGTGGTAGTGGGCCACAGAGATTTCCAGCAGAGGACCCAGTCCTAGGAGGAGGCCCCTTGGAGTTCTTGTGAGGATCCACATGGGAACTGACAACCAGCTGGTTGATGAGGCAAGATGTTCCTGCAGGACTTTGAGGTTCAGAAACGGAGGAGAAGATCCTGCAGCTGATCTTTTCAAGCCATGGTTTAGACTGCTGTTTAAAAATAACTCCCAAGCATGGACACTGTTCATCTTGAAAGCATTTATTCAGTACAGTCTTTCTCAAATGGCTTGGTGCCTGATCTGCTTGTTTTCCCTGTCACTAACCAACTGGAACTTTAAGTTAACACCTGTATTAGAAATATTACTGTATTATCCCAAGGCATAACCTTTTCAAACCAGGACTTGCTCATGTTGTGCAAATCTCAAAGCACAGGTAGAGCAAAAGACTGCGCAGGCAGATCAGACTGGCAAAAATTGAAGTTTTTAGGCTACATCTCTGTTTTCATATGTGTATTGCATGTGAGTTTACTAGAAAGCACTGAGTTTCATTGCACTTCCATCTTATGGCTCCTGGCATAAGCAGATTCCCAAGTTTCTCTTTCTTTACTGTAGAGATCTCTGCTCTGCAGGAGGTCTCAGCCCAGTGGTTTTCAGTTAGGATGTTAACACCAATACCCCTTTTGGTGGCAATCACTTTTGTTGGCGTTCCAGGTAGCAAAGCCTGTCTTTTTTGTGTTGAATTTCTTTTTTTTTTCTTTTTTTTTTTTTTTTTTTTTGGCAATGCACAGCCCACAAGAGTTTTCTAGGCTTAGTGCAAAATGAAAGGCTGGAGAACAAACCACTGCTTAACAGGTAACAATCTGAGGTTAGTCCTCATTGCTAAAAAGATGACCAGCCTTGTTTGTCTCTTTGTCCTAAAGGTTAAAGCTACTGTTTTGTTTAGTCTTTGATGTACTTGAATTCCTCAAGTCTTTTCAGCAAGACAGGCCAAGTCATTTGGGTTTCATTTAAAGGCGTTTATTGGGACATAATTTAAGATCTGCTGTTGCATTACCTAAGTATCTCTTAAACTTGTAGGTGTTACTTTTGATGTGATGACGTTTTTTTGGCTTTGTGTTTTTCTTTTAAGAGGACAAACTAATTTTATGGCTGTGTTTCTTAGATGACACTGAGGAATCAGACAAGCTCAGGACATCTGATTAAAACTGTATGCTGAAAACATCATTGGTTTTAGTCATCTACTCTAAAAATTCTGAACAATGCTATCGCTGCGAAGCAGCAGTGTTCTGCCTGCATGCAGATCAACTTGTGAACTGTACAATTTTCAAGCTAGTGTATTATGCCAGAGAGTGTATTTGATGAGTATATCAAATATAAAATTCATCACAGTACTGTCTTTGGCAATAAGAATTTCAGCCATCTCATTTTAACCTGCCACTACATGTTTCTTAGAGCCCTGAAATGTCATGTATTGCAGTTCTGCCCTGAACACATGCCAGCAGGGAACTGGATTTTCAATTTCCGTAATATTTTGCAGGGGGGAGTGAAAGCAGAGCCATAGCAGATACAGATTCTTTCCTGGATGTTCTTGAACAGTTTGTCCAGTTCTACAGGTTTGAAACCGGAGCACATAATAAAAATGTATTGAAGGAAGATGCAGTTAAGCGATTTCTGAAACTGCTGTCTTCGATGCATGGTACAGTGAGTTCTCCTTTTTCCCTTCACAAAACTTAATTGTTGTGAAAAATGTGTTTGATGCTAACATACAGTGTTTGCTCTTTTACCCTTTCTTCTCTTCCCCTTTTCTGCAATTGACATTAGTGGAACAAGATACTTTTACTGTTGTGTTTTGCCCTTAGAACCACTGGAATATGCACAAAAATTTAGTGTGGTTGAATCAAAATGTTCAAACTTGTTTGGCTGTCAGCATAAGGATGGAAAGATGCAAGTGTTGCATTTTGTTGTTCTATACTTTGAATTTAACGAGTTCATTATTCTGAAATTAGTTTACAGTGAGATGGATTTTATTATGTGGCTTTGAGTGAGTTATGTTGTCTTGACTGTCTTGCAGAAATCCCTGAAGGGGTGGTTTGCAACATCTCCCATGCCTGTGCTAGCAGCTTCATAAAACAGTTGCTGGAGAAGCAAATGTGGCATAAAGTTTTGCTGCTGCTCACAGGGAAAGCCAGTGGGGAAGAGCCATCAAGTGGAGGACTCTTCAAAAACTGCAGTCTTTCAGATGTTGACATTGGCAACGTTATCCAACGGTGTGACAGATCAGATAAGCAAGTGAACCTCATAAAATGCTTGCTTGAACGAGGAGGTGAGAAACTGTGCACTATTAATTTATTATAAAAGATCTGGTATTTTATCTGGCATATTTGGAGCAACAGTTTCAGAAATACCAGTGCATGTTTTTTTGTGGCTCTGTATAAGTGCAGCAGCTTGTTGGAGTGCAGTCCATTGGCCGCATCTGCCGTGTGCGACCATGGGAAAACTAGTAAGTAAGGCTACATGGAATGGAAGATGTTGTTCAGATGAAATTTGACTGTCAGGGTTGGTAAAAGGTAAAAAAAAAAAAACAAAAAAACGCCAAAGATTATTGTTGCTCCTTTGCTTGTAGTTGCTTTAGTTTTTAATCTCTCTTGTCTTCAGCCACAGTATTATCCTGATACAAACTGTAAGCTACAATCTTTGGGTTCAGTCTGTTGTTATTTTACAAGTAATTGACTACTTCAGTGATTTCAAAGGCATGACCAGATGTCTGTCTTTTTTTAGCTAGTGTAGACATCATATTTTTTCTTGTTTTGCATGGGGTTTATTGCTAGGATTATTCTGGCATTTTTCATTTCATCTTATAACTTAGCTATAAATTATGGACACACAGTCCTGCTGCAGCCTTGTGAGTGCCGGAGGTGCAAGGAGGCTTCTTGTTTCCGTCAGTGATTGACTTGAAGAAGATATGTTCTGGCCTTTCTGTCTTCCTATCATAACAGGAGGACTGGTTGCTCAGCTTAATGGGAGATGAGGAGATTCTGAAGATTTTCCTAGTCAAAAACTCTTTCACAGATACATGGAAAAATCTGACAAAAAACCCCATCACCTGCTCAGCAGTCAGCATGTACCTTCATCTGTTTGGTTTGCAGATCTGGCGTATCAGATTTAACCCTTGCTATTTTCATGTCCTTCACAACAGCTCTGCCAGATGGGGTTGGAACCAGCTCTGAAATACCACTGCAAATATGCCTCAGAAAGAATTATTTTGAACTGGTATATTTGCTGCTGACCAAAGGTGCAGATCCTCAAAATGTCTCTATTGCACAAGGAGATACTCCTTTGCATGCTGCAGTTTCCATCTGTTTAAATAACAGAGGTAAGACTTTTGTGTGCCCGGGCCTGGGGACACAAAGAGCTCTCGCAGATGTGCGCAGTTTGTTTTCACAGCAGCTGTTGAAAACATCCCCATTTCTTACCTGTCCAGCCCACCGCCCCTTCTGCTGCTGTTTACTGATGTGACATCAGATCAGGATGTCCGAATGTGTTTCAGCCCCCAAAGTTTCCAGGCCAGAGGATTCACACCATCTTAGTTAAGCTGACGTGTTCTGCTTTCTGGTTGCAGTGGCTGGGACTGTGAAGAGAGTTAATGGCAGCTGAGGTGACCAGGGGGAATCAAGCAGCTGTAATGCCTCTGTCAGTTACTGTTTTGTGAATATATTCTTGTTTAATCAAGCTGATTTAGAAAGGAAGGCTCCTGTCTGAAACCCTGTAAAATGTGTACTAGCTGGGAATGAAGTTAATGGGAAGGATCTAGGAAGAAACCAAAGGTAAAGGCAGAGCAATAGCAGCAGACTTTGAAGGAAATCCTACAATGACATCTGAAATCTGTTTCCTAGTTTTTGTTTGGTTGTAAATCAAGCATTTTTGTTCAGAGGAGTAGCGGTGAGAAGACTGTAGGGCTTACATGAAAATGTAAGAAATAAACTATGAAATCAAGCCCCAAAGTCAGGTTTGATTTTAAATTGAGAAAAAATGCATTTTTGAGTTCAGGTTTAAACTAATTTAAAACACAGAATTTATTCATTTTTAAAGCACAGACATTTAATTTAATAGCTTTAAAGAGATCAAAAGCATAGTTACTGCCAGTTGTAAATTTTAAATCAAAAGATTAAGAAGTCCAATGGCAATACCTTCTCAAGTGTTTTTCACTGTGTGAAGTTTTTGAGGTAGAATTTCTTTACAATGATTTTGGTGTGACTATTTTACAGTCAGGAAAGAAATGTTTCACATAAATGTCATTTAAACCAGATAATAGATTGTCTGGATTAAATCCAGAAATTTGTAGAGTATCTTTCTTTTTTTCTCCCCAGGGAGGTATTGGATTAATTTATTTTGTAGGAAGTTTCTCTAGGGACCTCAGTTACCAGGAAATAATTGGGATTTGCCACAGGCTGTTTTAGTAAAGTTGTCTGCCACAGATAACTTTTGAGTGGCGTATTAAAGTGAACCAAACGACTCCAGAACAGTACCTAGAGCTGCTGCTTGTCCAGATGACCAGTCACCAGCCTACTCTGGGTAGCAGTCAGGGCTGATATTGGGAAACCAACGAATCTGTCCACATCCAGAGGTTAAAAAGGAATGAAATCAACTGATGCTACAATTGGAGCACTAGGGACTTCTAAAGCTTTGCTGCCATCGTATTGTTTTCCCTATTAGGAAAGCTCAGTTTTAAGCCATTTCAAATAAGCATGTTTTACAAACATGAAATGTAGGTTTTATTTTTTATTCTTTTGAAGACAAATTGGTTTTCATTTAATAGCTGCAGAAAAAAGGTATTAAAAATTGTTGGCCTACAAAGCAGACTTGTAAAGTAAGTGGGGTTTTTTGTTTGGTTGGTTGGTTGGTTGGTTGTTTTGGTTTTTTTTTTTTTTTTTTTTTTAAATTTGTTCTTTTGCTTTCAGATAGCACTGGCCTAAACATCCTGAACTATCTACTTGATCTCTTTGCTTCAAGACCTTCTGACTTTCCGTGTCTTAATCCAAACGTACAAGATGAGAATGGAAATACAGTGATGCATGTTGTTTTTCAGAGAGGATTTTCAAAGCAGGCTAAGAGAATAATGGAGTCATTGGCAAAATTCGATGTTAACTTTAATATAAAAAACAAATTAGGAAGAGATGTGAGGCATAGAATTAAAAAAAATGACCCACTGCTACTTGCCTGGAATAATGCTGCACTGGAGAAAAAGAAGTACCGGCATGATATAGCAGGGCAGTCAGTTAAAACATCTAAGCCTGTTCCAGCCTCTGAAATTTCACAGCCAAAGAGCACAGGGCGTTCTTCATCTGGGTCCTCATTAAAGGCACCATCTGGCAATGCAGCGCATAATGATTTAAAAACCCTGTGTTCTGTAAAGACAAAAAAAGATCAGTTGGCAAAGCAGGAAACAGAAAGAATAAATAGCCCCTTAACACTGCAGGAAAGTCTAGTGCAGGCAATCACAGCTTTAATTCATCAATTGAAGTTGGGTGACCCTCTGAGAAAAGATCATTCTCTGGTACAGAAGTCATCTTCAGCCCAGACTAATTTGGAAGAGGGAAGAAGTGAGTCCTCGCAACCTTCTGGAAGCATAGTTTATCCTGCAGGAAAAGGAGATGATTGGGACAAAAAGAAGGGAGCAGGGGAATTTAGTATGGCCCTGCCCAGTGAAGAGAAGGAAGAACCAGAAGAAGAGAAGGGGAAGATTCTGGATATTGAGGCATATGTACAGGAGTTTGATAACATGACCTGGGAAATAGAGTGCACTCCTGAAATGCTGAAGACGTTGGGCAGCAAAGCTGTCCCTCATTATCTGAAAACTAAAACTATAATGACAATTAAACAGCTTGGCAATGGGGAATGGACTAAGGGCCTTCAGAAGCCACTGAAACACTTGAAAACTAATATTCAGCTGTATGAAGCCAAGTTGGGCAAAGGTGCAAGGATGCTATGGGAACTTGCAATTGACTTTTCTCCTCGTTGCAGCGAGAGTGCAGAGAAGATCATGGAGACAGAACAGACAAACAGTCTTCCAGAAAAATCAGGTAGAGTTTACACAGAAATAATCAGAATTTGGGCCATTGTTCTCGACCACTGCAAGCTGAACCGTGTCTTAGATAATATATGTATTTCCTACAATCGTGGTTTATCCTGCATCTTGAGGAAAAAGCTCAAGGGTATAAACGAAGGACATCAGAACCACAATGTGACAACACAGAAGCGTGTTCCACGTTGTTATGTTGAAGACCCAGAGGCAGAAAAATCAAAAGAACGTACCATACCCGAGTATTTCCCTCCAGCCAGTGCAGCAGAATTGGAATACAATATAATGAAATTTCACAGCTTCAGCACTAACATGGCGCTTAACATTATAAACGATGTACATTCTTCTGTTGAATACCCTTTCCGAGTTGGGGAGTTGGAGTATGCAGTAATTGATCTCAATCCAAAGCCCATGGAACCAATCATTTTGATTGGACGAAGTGGGACAGGGAAGACGACTTGCTGCTTGTATAGGCTTTGGAAGAAATTCTATTCATATTGGGAAAAATCCGCCTTGGCAAATGGTCCTCTGCTGGAGAGGCAAACATGGCAGCAAAGACCATGCAGTGAGGTTGAAAAAGCTAGGTTAGCAAATGAAGAGAATGAACTAAAACAGGACAGTGATGATTCGAGTGAGGAGCAGGTGAGCGATGGGCCAGACCAGGACAGTGAGGATGAAAATGTTCCTGCGGGTGCAGCTGGTGCAGAAATGAATTCATGTGATGACCATGAAGGACACCAAATGTGTGACGCAGAAGCAGACAGGCTGGAGCACCTGCATCAGATCTTTGTGACAAAAAATCCTGTCTTGTGCCAAGAAGTTCAGAAGAATTTCATTGAACTTAGCAAGTCTTCCAAGGTAACCAGTCACTTCAAGCCTCTGGAGCCAAATGTTCACAAGATACAAGACATTAAAGATGAAAATTTTCCGCTGTTTGTCACCTCCAAGCAGTTGTTGCTGTTATTGGATGCATCCATGCCCAACCCATTTTTTCCAAGAAATGAGGATGGAAGCCTTAAAAGAACCATTGTTGGTTGGACTCCTCAGGAGGACTTGGTTATACCAAATTGGCAGGATGAGGATGAAGAAGGTGATGTTGAAGCAGAACATGGTGATGATGAAGGAGCTGCAGATGCGTACTCTAGGGAAAGTGATCCTCGGACTTTTGTGACTTATGATGTATTTGCAAATGAAATGTGGCCAAAAATGATAAAAGGTAAAAGCTTGTACAATCCAGCACTGGTTTGGAAAGAAATAAAATCATTTCTGAAAGGCTCTTTTGAGGCACTGAGTTGCTTTGGGGGTAAACTTACTGAGGAGCAGTACAAAAAGCTAGGCCGAAAGAGATCACCGAACTTCACAGAAGACAGGAGTGAAATCTATCACCTCTTTTGTCTTTATCAGCAGATACGATCACAAAGAGGTTACTTTGATGAAGAAGATCTGCTGTATAATTTATCTCAAAGACTTTCAAAGCTCAGGGAGCTGCCGTGGTCCATCCATGAGTTTTATGGTGATGAGATACAGGATTTCACCCAAGCTGAGTTAGCACTGTTAATGAAATGCATCAATGATCCTAATGCCATGTTTCTAACTGGTGACACTGCCCAAAGCATAATGAAAGGAGTTGCTTTTCGTTTTAGTGATCTGAAATCACTGTTTCACTATGCAAGCAAGAACTCTGTGAACAAAAAGCAGCGTGTTAGAAAACCAAAAAGGATCTATCAGTTGTACCAGAACTACAGGTCCCATTCAGGTACAGTAACAAATTTATCTATGATCTGAGCCTGTGCTCTTCAAGTGTCACTAATGATTGAAGTTTTCTACTAGCTAATTCAAAGCATCTTTAAGTGGCCTGTTTTTTTAAGCAATCAAATGGTCAGGTTTTTCTGACATGCAAATTCTGTGTTTTGACATCTCAACCAGAAAACCAAGAATGAACATTTTTTAAATTGTTGGGTTTTGAATGCTCATGCTTAGTGCATGTCTTGACTGTATTTGTTTGAAGGAAAACTTAACAAATAATCATACCATTTCTGTTGTCATGTCCCCAAATCGCTAGACTTTGCAGCATTGGTGTGCTACTTTTCTTACTTGTTTCTCATTTATGACCTTTATTTGGTGAGGATGCTGCTAAGTTTTTGTAGCATGCTTTCTGATTTTTACAGGCCCAAGAATGAGGTCCACTCAAAATGACGAAAACATAAAGCGGACCTTACAGCTTCTCTGTTCTCTGACTTGAGTTTTTGTCATCACATTTATTGATTTCAAAATTCTAAAAAATCTTTTACAAGTGTGTTTGTGAGAGAGTATGAGACAGTCAGATTGAAGTTTAAAATCTCTGTTCTGCTTATTGCAGGTATTCTCCATTTAGCATCTGGAGTGGTTGATTTGCTTCAGCATTACTTCCCAGAATCTTTTGATCGGCTTCCTAAGGACTGTGGTCTCTTTGATGGACCAAAACCTACAGTCTTGGAGTCCTGCAGTGTTAGTGATCTAGCAATTCTGCTGAGGGGCAACAAAAGGAAAACACAACCCATTGAATTTGGAGCACATCAGGTTGGTTTTTCTTAGGTATATGGCTTTTTGCAGAGTCTTCCAGCACTGTTGCTGCATTGCCATTTTATATGGGCTTCCCACAACTTTTATTTTTTAAGCCCTTGTGTCTCACTGATAAATTATGCTTTTCAAACTTAGAAACCCTTATTGTGTTGGTTTCTGTTTCTTAATACGTGTCTGGGTCTTTCTGTTCTTTTTTACATCAGGTGTTGCCTGTCCCATGTCTTTCAAACTCCAAATTTTCTTTTATCAGATCTACGACTATTTGCACATACCATGCATTTGTCAGTCTTGTAGTGTCAGCTTTGTGACCTTTTTTGCAGAGTGTGCAGGAACGTCTGTGTTAAATGTCATCTGATTCTGAGAAGGCTCTTGTATTATCATGACATGTTTGTATGCTTTCTCTATGCAGCTGTTACCTTTTTTCTGTTTTTTTGGTTTCTAATATGTTCCCTTTTATTAATGTATCTTATGACAGGTGGTATTAGTGGCAAATGAAACTGCAAAGGAGAAGATACCCGAGGAACTTAGTTTAGCACTTGTACTGACAATTTATGAAGCAAAGGGCTTGGAATTTGATGATGTACTCCTTTACAACTTTTTCACAGACTCAGAGGTATTTAATTCTTATCTATTTTCTGTAGTTTTTCCCTAAGTCTTGCTTTTACATGTTACTAATTGGCTTTCCAGCTGGGGAAGGATTCCCTGTTTCCTCTGAAGATGAGTGGTTTCATCACAGTAGAAAACAGGGCTCATAGGTTTATGAATTGAGACCATCTGCCTTTAGTGCTCCTTCAGACTGGCTATTGCAATTTAAGGGAGAGCCTTGGGGTTCACACAACAGTGCACACATGCACACACTTCTGCTGCATACCAAGACTACTCTGCTAACTTACAGCGTGTCCCTCCTGGCTGCTCCCTGTTCAGGTCAGAGCAGTTGGTGGAGGGACACGCCATCACCCTCTCATAGTTTTTAACATACTGGAGTTCTGGGTCCCAGAAAACCACCTTAGACCCCCTGCTTTGCATCACCACAAAATTGTAAAACAATTATGATTAGAATCAAATAGTGTGTGTATGTGTTTGGGGTGAGGGGAAGGAGCATGATCTGTACCCATCCACAGCTTATCTCTGGAAAACTTATTCTGGTCTAGCTCAGGAGTTGTCAGGAAGCTTGGGAAGACATCACAGTCTATAGCGGAGAACACTGCCTGTAGAATGGCCTCGGGTAAAGATGACTTTCTTTCTTGGAGGTGTTGAATTTTGTATTTCTTAGGTACTCCCTTTTCCCCATTTGTGGTTCTCCAGGGAGCTCAGACCCTGTCTCTCCAGGGTTTCTTCTAACTCCAGACCTGGCACGGGTGCGGTCCTTGAGGCTCCTTGTAAAGAGCTATCAACCACAGCAGCATTGCTGTTCTTGCTGGAGCATTACTGAGCCCCCACCACCACCCCCAGCAAGGCAGTAGGCAGCATCCTTACTGAACATGCCTGCAGAGACTTGGGAATGCCCACGACTGAGTTGCTCTGCAATTAAACATTCAGTGTGAACATCTCTGTTGCAAATGTCCTCTGCCTCTAGCCCTCAAAAAAGTGTCTCCGATGTGGTTTTCAGTAGATGAAAACCACTGAAAAACTGAAGGCAACCTATTGGTGGCTCTTTGTAGAGGTTAGCAGACATTATGTGGTGAGAGCAACAGGAAGGAGCTTGAGGTAAACAGCCTTGTGTCTGGCTTACTGACATTTGGGGACGGTACAATACTGGCTGTCATTTTAGATTTCTCAAAGTTGATTTGTTCTTGGTGATGCAGATTGTACTCAGAAAAACAACAAACCATTTACCAGAATTTAGCAGAATCAGTTTAATGGAACTGAGTTGTGTAGAGTATTTTGACTTAGACTAACATATGCTAGGCCTGGAGAACTGTTTTCATACAATTGTTCCATTTTCCTGAGTCGTGAGTAATTGAGTTGATTTAAGCAGTTAAACAAGCAGGTGAGAAAGCACCTCACCCTGAGGTTTTCTAGTTTTGAAAAGCTGAATACATGAACTGTTGTAAACACTGTAAATGTGGCTGTATGCTTTGTAATGTGTTGGGTTTTCTTTTTATTGGGCTTGAAAATAAGATTTGAAATCAGTCTTGTTTCAAGAAGCAGATTTGAATGAAGAATCAAAAAGGGAAAAAAAACCTCAAATCCCCAAAACCCTGCAAGCTGTTGAGCAAACTGATACCATTAGCTGGCTGTCATTTGTAATCTGTGACAGGTTTAGGAATGTTTTGATTGATGATATCTTGCAATCTCAACTTCAAAATACATTTTGCAAGAAGAGTTTTGCATTTTTGTCCCCCAAAGGAAGACAGTTAACTTGTATTACATGGCTTAAATCTCTGAACTATATAATTTTTTAAAAAGCTGTTTCAGCATTATTTTGTGTCAGAAACTTCGTACTACGTAATCAGCTTTCCATTAAATACCAAAAAGGGGAAAAAATGAACATAACTTCAAATATACTTATGATTCTCTAAGTTGCTAGTTTTGTGGGGGTTCAGGAACCTGCAGAACAGTGTGATCAGGAGCTGGCATTTGTTACATGGCATGAGAATGCACATGACCAATCTGCTGCCACACTTAACGTGTGCACAGACATGCTTAAATGTATTTCTCACATGTCCCTATGTCAGAGTCCAACATTCTCTGACCAGACTTTTTTAGATACTTCCCATGAGTGTTAATTTGCTCATCTCTGAGCCTTCTTCCAAGGGGGTGTGTTGGCAGATGCCATTCCAGTCCTTGGCTTACACTAGCACTGGCAATTACTGGTGTTTGTGCAGTGAACTGAACACATTCCTCACATGAATGACCAGCCTTCTTGCCTGGGCACCATGAGGAGGAGAATACATGCCTGTATGGGATACTGGTGGGTCCACTTCCATGGCTTTGACCCCTTTGTTTTGTCCATGGGCTCCACTACATCATGGTTTACACAAGCACTGGTGATACTTGCCAAAGATGATGTCCCAAATTTCCCTCTTGTTAATCCACTGCTTTTCCCTGACAAGGTGTAGGATCTGGTCCCTGTTCAGAGAACTGCCTTGTTGGTACACCAGCCAAAGGACAGCAACTACTTGCCTCTGTTTGTCTGGATCCTCCTTGCTCTCAGTCTCCTTGGTGCTACAGTGACAAGGAGTCTGGTGAGTTGTGGGCCAGCTGGCCTGCAACTCACTGAGCTTGTCAGTCTTGTAGTGTCAAGGAGACTTGGTGGCTGCCTGTCCTGACTTACAAGCTAAGATCTATCCAGCATGTCTTAGCAGATTTTAGCATGACAGACTGCAACTTGTGTTTTCCCACCGCAATTTACCTTTCACCCTGCCCCAAGCTGGCAGGGAGCTGCCTGGCCCAGCGGTCAGCACACCCCCACAGTGACTCTGCCTGTTGTGGTATTGGGGTTTGTAGGAGAATCCCCAGCCCTAGGACTAAACCTTGAGCCTTGTCCATGGTGAGGGTAACCTGACTTCTTCCTTTTCCCCATAGATGGGCCATCTGTTGTAGGGGTGTATCTTCAAGTTCAGCTGAAAATTTGTAGTCCCACCCAAGAAGGTTTTCGTGTTTAGCATCAAATTTACTTATTTGATCTAGTAGGCGTTGCGTTTGATTTGGATTGTGAAGAGTGATACAGCAGTATCATGAAATCACAAGACAAGCAAATAAAACAGTAGAAATACACTGTGGAATTGCAATACAAATGTGATTCCCATTAGCAGTCCCCATATGCTCCACCATCATGATGCTGGGCATCCCCCGTCCCCGGGAAGTAATAGGTAGCTTGAAGCCAGTTGCAGTTTTCCAGATTTGTTTTGTTTGTTGTTCAGTTTTTACACACTGTTGGGCTAAGCCACATATTTACTTTCCCCCATGTTGGTCTAGGCAGCTCAGGAGGACATTCCCTAAAATAGCTAGTAGAGAGTGAAGTTGTTTATTTAGCTTGATGACCGCCCGGTACAGACATGCATCTCAAAGGTTACCCTCCAATCCCACTTGAGTTGCGAAGAAGTTCAGCTTTCTTGATGAAAATTGGTGGTTATTCTTTACATTCTTCCCTGAGATAATTTTTTTTTTTTCCCCACTCATCTTCTCTGAGCATTTTTCAGTTGGGGGGGTGCATTGGTCAATCACAACATATGACCTTATCTTTTGCATGTGTGGGTAGTAGTGATTGCTGCATGCAAGTAAACCTCATTCTTTTGACATTTTAGGCTAGCAAGGAATGGAAGATAATTTCTTCTTATACTCCTGATTCAGCTGTGCAAGTAGGAAGCAAATTGCTAATCGAAATGCCTTTAGAGGATGCTACTGGTATGCCGAAAAGAACTCCTTTTAATGTAGAAATGTACAAGGTGAGTTTTTTGTAATATTGGCAATAGGAAGGATAAACTAAATTCTTAAATCTTAGAAGTAGGGAAATTTCTTCGAGAAATCCTTTCACCCTGTAGTTCCATGTCTATTGAGGATGCTTTATCTTTTTGGTAGTTGTTCACATTTGTATAATATAATCTTGATTTTGAAAGATAGGTTTTTTGCGAGTGTAATTTGATAAGAACAAAAACTACGTGTTACAGACTTTTAGGTATATTTACAGAACAGCTGTGGTTAAAGCAAATGGCAAATCAGCTTGTTGATATTTGTTATTACTTTAGTCTGGTTTCAGATCAGTGTTACTACCTTAAAATTAAGAAAACTTCTTAGAATCTAGTGAGTCAGATATTTTTGGATTGTATGCTAAAAAATGAATAATTATATGTGCAAGCGATTAGAAGGAAAATGGACTGTCACACCTGCAGCTGCTAGATTTGCTGTAGTGGTGGTTGCACACAAATTAGCCAAACAATGGCTTATGTAATTGAAAAAAATCACATACTTAATATTTAGACTTGCTTACTTAAGGATACTTTCTTATTTGTTATTCATTCTATATATATTTGCTGTTTTCTTCTAACTGCAAAGTAATATTTCTTTCTACAATCTAGCTCATCTGGCATTTAATTTATTTTGGTGTGTTGCTTTTTTTTTTTTTTTTTCTTTCTCCTGGTTCTGCTTCAGATGCTGAATGGAGAACTAAAGCAATTGTACACTGCTGTTACAAGAGCCAGAGTCAATCTTTGGATCTTCGATGAAGACAGTGATAAACGGGCTCCGGCTTTTAAGTATTTCATCAAAAGAGAATTTGTTCAGATTGTCAAAGCAGATGAAAAGAAAGGTAAAGTTATCCTAAAACTTTCTTAAAGACTGTCAAACAGGACAGCCTACTCATGTTTTCTTGCTTTTAGACTGTATAATAGAGAAGGTTAAATTCCTTGGTCTCTCTAACAGTATGCATTGATAACTACCCTTGCAAATTTCCACTGATTTCAGTGGGTCTTCTTTTGGCTCTAAAGATCAGTTGTATATGTCAATACATAACTTCATTGCTAATTCATTAGTATAAGTTTTCCTCCTGTTGCAGGAGAACAGTCAGAGATCGCTCAGAAAGAACTGATCTAGTAGTTAGTTTATTGAGTTCTAACCAATAAATTTAGTTATTTAATATTTATTTAATAAGTAGAGGCGGATTAGTGGTCAATACTCTACTATTCACTACAGTTAAATTTAGTATGGGATACAAAGATTATTGCCTAAGCTTACTATATGTATCTTAAATGTTAGATGCATGCAAAAATGTCACATACCAACCCATGGACGTCTGGTGTCAGGTAAGGGATCTCCCAGCCGTGGTTGGTTTGTAGTCACATTTTCTGCTGTGTTCACATAGTTTCAGCCTCTTATCAACCCAGTCTTCAGTCAGTCCATTTTTTTGGTTTTGGTGCTGTGTTTTCACTGATAGCCTCACGCAATAGGATTAACTTTGGTTAGGCTTACTTGCTGCTTGCTGAGCATCTGCCTGGACCAAAGCTCAGTTAGTGCAAACAAGAGTGCAGCAGTCACACCTGCATGGTGATGAAGACTGCTCATGGGTAAACCATCCCAGCTGAAAGATTTATCAAATGAAGGAATTTGGTTTCTGTAAAGACAGTGGATTTACTCAAAGTTTTGTCCAAAAAAAAAGCATGATTTTTAAAGAGCTTTCAAAACAAAACCCAACTTGTTGATTTTCAGTGCTGATTGTGAGGGATAAAATGTATTTAACTCATAGTTACCATTACTGTTGTATCAAATCATAAAGAGTTTGGAACATTATGAGATGTTAACGCTTCATTTTGGTATGTGATAAGTGATTTCTGTGCTTTCTCCATTCTAACATGAAATGATTACCTCTGACTTCCTAGACTTAGATGACAGCATGTTTGCCAAAACTTCAACTCCAGAAGAATGGATTGCACAGGGAGACTACTATGCTAAACATCAGTTCTGGGAGGTGGGAGCATATGTTTATCTGAAATAAGGATTCTTATCTATCCCGAAACTTTTTTTTTCCCTTGCATCTATAAAATTATCTTTAAACCTTCAGTTGCTCTGTAGCAGTCTGTCTTTATTTGTGGTTTGTAGTTGTGTAGGTGTCTATAGACTACTTGTAAACAACTTGTAAGAAGCAGGAAGGGAGAGCAAGCCTATTGTCTATAATCCTAAATTCACTACTCAGAAATTTGCAGTCCAATGAGGGAAAAGCATTTTAATATGCACAAGTGAAAGATGGTTGGAAAAAACAATTATTAGCAACAACTGCAATTGACTGGAATTTGTGAATCTAAACCATGTGTTTGACAACATCATTACACATTACTATAGGAAAATTAAAATATTTCTTGGAAGTATCTTGATTTGGGTGATGATCTCAGAGCCTTTTTATAGCTTTTTGGACAGTAATTAGGGATGGATACAAAACACACATTAAAGAACAGTGTGTACAGACCAAGGGAGCATTAAGAAAACTGCAGGAAGAGTAGCAAAATGATGGTTTAATTCCTTTCCTATTGAAAGAACATGGAGATTTTGGAGTCTTATTTCCTAAATGGATAGCAAATACAATTAGGTATGAGATGACAGTTAATGGAATAGAAGCAAAACCCAGCCAGCACGACAGCATCGATGGATTGTTCTACAAGGAATTAAGGGATATCTCTAGATCAACTGCCCTTGTTCTTATGGGTGATTTTAACTTCCCAGACATCGACTGGGAATATCATACAGTGGACACAAACAGGTCCAGGAAATTTCTGGAGCACACTGCAGATACCTTCTTGGTGCAGGTACAGAGGGAGCTGACTAGGAAAGGTGGCCTCCTAGATTTGTTGTTTGTAAACAGAGAGGGACTCATGGGAAGAGTGGTGATTGGTGGCTGTCTTGGTTACAGTGACCACGAAGTATTTGAATTTCAAATTGTTGGCAATAGGAGAATAACTGCCAGCAAAACTTTGACCCTGGATATGGGGAGAGCAGACTTTGGGCTGCTGAAGGAGCTAGTTAGTCCCCTGGGAATCTGCTTTTGAAGATCTTGGGGTCCATGAATGCTGGTCACTCTCTAAGACCCTCTTAATCTCTTAAGAGCACAGAAGCAGGCAATTCCAGAGCGTCAGAAGTCAAGCAAGTGGGGCAGAAGGTCGGCTTGGCTGAGCAGGGATCTTCTAGAACATAGGCAGAAACGGAGAGTGTATGGATGTTGGAAGCAAGGACAGGTGACACAGGAGGACTACAGAGATTGTGTTTGCCACTGTAGTGTGAAAATCCATGCTGCCAAAGCTTGATTCGAGTTCAAGCTGGCCAGCACTGTGAAGGACAACAAAAAGGGCTTCTTTATAATACATTAACAGCGAAAGGAGGATCAGAAACATTGGTCCACTACTTGATGACGTCAGTCACATCACAAATAGGGAGGTAGACAAAGCAGAGACATTTAATGCCTTCTTTGCCTCTGTCTTCAACACTGATGATGGACCTGGAACCTTGTGTTGGGAGACTGTGACTGGAGGGATGATAAACATACAGTTGACTCAACATTTTTGAGACTTGCTGCTCCACTTGGATGGACATAGGTCTGTGAGGCTCGATGGGATTCATTCCAGGGTACTGAAAGAGCTGGCTGATTTTATTGCGGGACCTCTCTCCATTATTTTTCAACGGTCTTGGGAGTCTGCAGAGGTCCCAGTCAACTGGAAGCTGGTGAATATTATCCCAGTTTTCAAGAAGGTTAAGAAGGAAGACCCTAGTAATTACATGCCTGTCAGTCTCATTTCAGTGCCTGCTAAAATTACAGAGAAGGTTATTCTGGGAGTTATTGAAAGACACTTGAGATGATTCAGTCATTAGGCATAGCCAGCACAGGTTCATGAGGGGAAAGTCCTGCTTAACCAACTTAATTTGCTTTTATGACAAGGTCACCCATCTAGTTGACCAAGGGAAGCCAGTAAATGTGGTTTTGGATTTTAGCAAAGCATTTGATACTGTCTCTCACAGTATTCTTCTTAATAAAATGTCCACTACACAGCTAGACGAGTCCATGATACGTTGGGTGAGCAATTGGCTGACAGGTCAGGCTCAGAGAGTACTCAAAGACTAAATGGGGTTATATCAGGCTGGCTGACAGTCACCTGTGGGGTTTCCCAGGGCTCAATTTCAGGGCCAGTGCTCGTTAATGTTTTTATAAATGATCTGGATGCGGGAATTGAATGTACATTAAGTAAGTTTGCCAACAATTCTAAACTAGGAGGATCTGTGGACTCCCTCGAGGGTAGAGAGGCCTTACAGAGAGATATGGATAGACCAGAGAGCTGGGCTATCACCAGCTGTATGAAATATAACAAGAGCAAGTGCTGGATTCTGCACCTGGAGTGGGGTAATCCTGGTTGTACGTAAAAATTAGGGGACGAGAGGCTGGAGAGCAGCCCTGTGGAAAGAGATCTGGGTGCTTGGGTTGATGGCAAATTGAATGTGGGTCAACAGTGTGCTTTGGCAGGAAAAAGGGCCAACCATGTCAGGGGGTGCATCAAGCACAGCACAACTAGCCGGGCAAGGGAGGTGACTGTCCCACTCTACACTGCACTGGGGCAGCCCAACCACAAATACTGTGTGCAGTTTTGGGTGCCTCAATATAAGAAGGACATCAGATTATTAGAGTGCGTCCAAAGGAGTATGATCAAGATGGTGAAAGGCCTTGAGGGCAAGACTTATGAAGAGCAGCTGAGGTCACTTGGCTTGTTCAGCTTGGAGAAGAGAAGGCAGAGGGATCACCGCATCACAGTCTACAGCTTGCTCAAGGGGGGCAGCAGAAGGGGAGGTGCTGATCTCCTCTCTGGTGACCAGCGATGGGACACAAGGAAATGGAATGAAGCTGCATTAGGGGAAGTTCAGTTGGGACATTAGGAAAAGGTTCTTCACTAAAAGGGGTGTCAGTCACTGGAATCGGCTCTCCAAGGAAGTCTTCATGACACCAAGCCTCTCACAAGGAGCATCTGGACAATGATCTTGGTCATTTGGTTTAGTTTTAGGTAGTCCTGTGAGGAGCAGGGAATTGGACTCGATGATCCTTATGAGCCCCTTCCAACTTGAGATACTCTGTTATTCTAGGAAATAAAATTTTTTTGCCGATAGCAACATATAATTTTGTGTATGGAAAACAGATATTTATAACAAGACCAAAATCAAAATAATCAGCTGCCACTATGCAGACAGTATCTCCCCTTGGAAAAAAAAAAAAAGGCAATTTCCTAAATAGACAGAAAATTGTTTAGATAAAAACCACACAGCTGAAAAAAAAAAAATCTTGACATCTGTAATGTACTAGCTATATTATCTGCTATTCTGTTTTCTTTACAACCCTGATCTTTGCTTATCTTTGCTACATTAAGAAGAAATTATCTGGTGAATTTGGCAGTTCTAAGAGTGGTTTGCAATGTGCAATTTCCAAGCAGAAGTAAATACTAAATCAATGGATAGAATAAAGAAATAATGGTGTCGCAGAATAAGTGAGGAGATAATGAAGCAAACCTTGCTAGGAATATGGTAACTCCTGCTGTTTCTCTTTAGCTTATCACAGAAAGGACCTGGTATGGTAAAAGTATAAATAAATGTTCCATGCGTTTCATTTTAACTTTGCACATATTGGCTTTCCTAACTTTTATTAATAGAATTGATGTGGTAGACGCCTGATGACTTACCAATTAGTGGTTTAGGACATCACTCAAATTGCATGTGCTGTTTGTTCTATCAGCCTACTAGGAATTTTGCTTTCACTACTTCCACGTAAAACACTGTAATTAAAATTCTGATAGTCACATGTGGACTGACTTTAAAGCTTTTCTTTTCGTCCTAAAAATATACTGCAATGTTTTACCTTTTCCTCCTTCCAGGCACCCTGCCAGCCTTTCTGTTTTCCATTACAGCGACTGTAAAATTAAGTATTGCTTTTATGTGATAAGCCGCAGGCTGGACGCACATGTGTAACTGCTGTGTATGATTTCACCCCAGGTGGCAGCCAAATGCTACCAAAAGGGAGGAGCAGCTGAGAAGTCAAAACTGGCCCTGGCACATGATGCTGTTCTCAAAGTGCACTCAAAGAAAAGCAGCCCCAGGTATGTGTAAACGCAGATGAGCAAGTGGCAGTCTGTGGTGCCAGACCTCATTAGTGTGTGCAGGGGGAGATTCCCACCACAGCTATGGGACCAGACTGGTGATGCAAGCAAGGTGTCTTCACATCTTTGTCTGTGGGTGGCAAAAGAGATTTAAGAAATTGGAAAGTCTAGCACAGCTCCCTTTGGGGAGTAGCGAAAGCAGTTGTACGCTGTGGGCTGTCCAAACCAAATGTGGCCCTTCAAAGGGCTTACTGGCTACATGAGAGAAAAGTAACAAGATTTGTATTACTGCAAGAGGCTTTCCATTCTTAGATACGATAGAAGAGCATATGCCATCAGTGGTGCTCAACTCCAGTTAATCCCACTGCATATTCACTTAACAAAGAAGAAGGAATGGTGCTGTACATTGGGGAAGAAAAGCTGCTAACAGAAAGTGAGCTTTGAGATAAAATTAGTGTTAGAGTCAATCTAAACTAGGCAAGCAGAGCTAGGTCTGAACCAAAGGGCAGTTTTAAAGGGACAGATTTTGAGATGAATCATTTAGTTCATGCTGTCAGCTGGGCAAAATAGCTCAATGGTTTGTCAGGGGAGAAAGTTTGCAGTTTGCTGAAGAGGCTGAAAAACTGTTTGGGACTTGTCTCAAATAAGACAAGAAAAAACTTCATGGGGAAGACTCTAGACCTAAGTGAATTAATTCCTGTTCATGCTGGGGAGGACAAAGACTAGCAGTGCTAGCAGAGTGGGTGAGAAATCACTAGAGCAGAGGAAGTTAGCACTGAAGGGAAAAGGGGAAGGTCTGGAGAAATGTTATTACTGGAATTAATAAAAGTTTTACCTTTTTTAATTTACCTGTTTTGTCTTAGTGGCCCTGCCTAGAAGTATAAGGATACTCATAAATTTTCGTGATCATAGAGAATTTGTTAATGGGACTGAAAAAAATGTTTTTTCAGTTGGCTATAAGCTGGGGTGCTTGTCAGCTGGATAAAATTTGAGAAGATATTGGATATATTAGGCTATGTTAAGTTGATAGAACATATGTAATAATGAAGCTGTGAAAGTGGCTTTTTTTTTTTTTTTTTTTGAGTAGAGGTATTGCAAAGGTGTACAAAGCATAAGTAAGATTCCTGTGTGCTCTATAATATGAAATGCTCTGTACGACTCTGATCCTCCGGGCTTAAGAATGATGAATTCAGACTAGGTCTGGGAAGAAATTAGACACGATGCAATGATACCAGAAAGGCTGGGCATGTTTAGTTATACAGAACAAAGGCTGAAACCAAATTTGATCGTTGTCTATAATGGCATTGGAGCTAAACAGGAGAAAGGAAGAAGGAGCAAGTTAAGCTAGAAAAGAGAAGCAGCACAAAACCACACTAGTATACTTTAGTTTGAGAATCAAAAAAAACCCCAAAAAACAACAAAAAACAAAGCTTTTTACTGCTGGAGCAGTGAGATTCTGGAACAGACTTCTGGACAAAACAGTGTCAGCCCAAAAATATAACTAATTGTAAAACAGTACCTCATCAGGTTATGTATGAAGAAGAACACATGATGTCAGTGTTGGTTGGAGTCAGTGACAGGTCATGTGATCCTAAACTTAATTTGGTTGTAAGCAGTAATTTTCTCTTACTTTTTACAGGGAAAAACAGATGGAATATATGACATTGGCTAAAACTTACTTGGAATGTGGAGAACCAAAACTATCACTAAAATGTCTGTTTCAATCAAAGGAGTTCCGGCTTTGTGCAGAACTGTGTAAAAAGTTAGGAAAGGTATTAAACCCTCTAAACTACCCTCCCCTTATCACTTCCTTTTTCCTACAGCTTTTTTTTTCCCCCTATTGCCCATAAAGTAATAGTATTTTTTTGACGTGGCAATAGATGAACTAAAACAGCTCTTTAAGCTGGGCTGTTTGGGAGGAAGCACTTGTCACAGAATAGCCAGAAGAGAAATGAAGAGGACAGTGATGCAATTACACAGTCTAGGTTTGTTTATTTGGCTTTCCTCAGATTTCACCATCAGTCATTTCTGCTTTGCAGTCAAAAGTTAATTAATGACTGATTTAATGAAAATTAGGCTGTTTCTTCATTCAGTACTGTGATGATACTGAAGCTTCACCAATTACAGCCATCCAAATGGAAACTTAAAACTTGCAAGGGTTCATTAATGTACTAACAATAATTTTCTAAGTATATGAAGATATTTAACGGTTTTTATTTGCAGTGCATTTCCACTAAAAGAATGTAAAGTAATTGTTCCCAAATATTTAAAGTTTAAGATACAAGGTTAGGGTTCCCATTATGCATCCATAACTGTTCTCATTTAATCCCATTGATTCTGAAAAATTTTCAAGTCAACAGAAGCGTGCATGGTGTTTTTTAATAGCAAGCAGATCTGGGTAAGTAAAAAGTACTTAGAAATCCTGTATAATACCTTTAGTTTTACATTCTAGTTTTTTGGACACAAATATTTTGAAGGTTTTTTTAAAAATCTGTTCAGTTTTCATGATGGTTACTTTAATATGTGTTTGATTACATTCAGATACTTTAATTACATTTTATTAAAGTGTGTTTCTCTAGGAGACACCTACGTGATGGAATTACTAAATTTATTCTATTCCTGTAGTTTTGACTGTTTAGAGCACTTCAGTTTCATTACTGACTTCTGCATTGCAGATCAAAGATGCTGCAGTTTACTATCAGAAAAGCCAGTGCTACAAAGAAGCATCTGAATGTTATGAACAAATTGAGGAGTTTGATCTAGCAATTAAAATGTATTGTCAGGAAGAACTCTATGAAGAAGCAGCAAAGGCAGTTGAAAGGTACGTATTCCAAGATGGTATTGGAATATAATTCTCTTCTCCTTTTCCAAATTCAACATAATACAGCTGTCTCACCATAAAATTTTCACAAGAGTTTCAGCTGGTCACTTTGTGTTCTACAAAGTTAAATTAACTTTGTCTGAATTCTCACACGGGTAATACTAACATGATGAAGACATTCTGCTGCATTCACAACTAGAACAGTGACTAGCTTCATTTTCCTGGGAATTTTTTTTGCAGTCCATATTACTAGTCATGCAAGTTCTCCTTCAGCCACTCCTCTGAATTAGGTTCTTATGGTAAATAAACAAAAACGTTTAATAGAAGTATTAAATACTTCTCTTTTAAGAGTGAAGTAGTAACGGAATTAGCCATTTAGTTACTGACTTCTGTAGGAGTATAACCATTAGATATATGGTATATAATGCAGCAGTTGTTGTGGCAAATGAACTATTTATCTCTCAAAATCTCTAACTTACGAGCAAAGAGTAGGAATTTAAATGAGCAACTTGCACTGCTTCTCTGACAGATTCTTGGTCCCATTTATGAGATGAACTTTGCCATACCATCTCTCCTGTGCTGGCTCAGGGCAGCTAAGAACTGCCTTGCACTGTGCTTGATAAACTGATTTTATTAGTATATTTTTGACAGAACTTTACATCTAGCACCATCCCTGTGACCTCATCAGCACGTTCTTGTGTAAACAGTTCATTTATTGGCCACACCTTTCACCTAAACTGATTGATGACTTTCAAAGAATATATACACCAATTAGAATCCTAGCAAGGTCTACAGTTACACACCTTCACTGAAATCCTTTGTGATATATCTAATAATGGCAGCTGTTTTTTTGAAGGATTAAAGCTTGTTTAGTATGTAGAGATAGTTTGATCAAAAAGTTCAAGCATTAAAGTCACCTCATCAGCTAACAATTTTTTAAATCAACCTCCCCAAATCATTCATGCAAATTCATCAGCATAGGTACAAAAATCTGTACTCCCACATTTATCATGAAAAAGGTGATAATGAAAGGCTAATGATAATTTACTCACCCATCAGGAAAAAATTACTCATTCTCGGCATGCAGGAGAGAATACTTTTGCAAGACTGGTTTAGGGAATATTTTAGTAATTTCACATCAGCCAATAATAATTAATAGCCGAGTGTTTTAAAGTGCATGGTTTGAAAGATGCAACCAGATACTTTGCTGAGGCACCCAATAAGCAGCAAAGTATGTGTAGATACATAGAACAGAATTGAAAGAGTTCTCTGAACTGACTGGTTTATGTAAATTTTACAGAATATTATCTATATTGACCTGTGGAGAATTCACTGAAATTCACTTTTATTATATTATGGCTTCTGTTCATGTAAACAACCATTCCATATTGAGGCTTACTTTAATAAACAAAATATTATCACTGTCAAAATGGGAGTAAAGTAATTTGTACAGTGATTTGACAGCATGGAGAAAGATTAATGCTGTAAACCTTGCGATCTTGTTTGCACCAGGTTTTAACGATCTTGCTTCAGACAGTCTTATGTTGCAGCTAAAAACTTTCTGTAGATCTTTTTTGTGGTTTAACCCCAGGTAGCAACTAAGCACCATGCAGCTGCTCACTCGCTCTTCCCCTTCTCACTGGGATGGGGAGGAGAATTTAAAAAAAAAAAAAAGTAAAACTTGAGGGTTGAGATTAGAACAGTTTAATAAGTAAGCTAAAATATAATAATAACAATAATAGTAATAAGATATAATAATAATTGTAACAAAAAGAAATATAACAAAAAGAGAGACAAATAAAACCCAGGAAAAGACCAGTGATGCACAGCACAGTTGCTCACCACTTGCTGACCGATGCCCGAGCAGTGATCTGCCCCTCCCAGCAAACTCCCTCCAGATTATATACTGAGGATGACGTTCTGTAGTATGGAATATTTCATTGACCAGTTTGAGTCCACTGCCCTGGCCCTGCTCCCTCCCAGCTTCCGCTAGCACGCAGGTGCACAGGGACATGGGAAGTTGAAAAGTCCGTGGTTTCTTAGCAACAACTAAACCCATTAGTGTATTATCAACATTCTTCTCATACCAAATGCCACACTGAATTCAAAACACAGCACTATTCTAGCTATGAAGAAGAAAAATTAGCTCTATCTCAGCCGAAACCAGGACAATCTTTTAAGATTATTTTTTGTCTAGGTTTGTCATCTCTGGTAGTAAATTGATGTATCTATTATTTCAGATATGAACAGATGTTAAATACAAAAGGACAAATGGTTTCCAAACTGTCATGTACAGCAAATCAGTTGTATTTGGAAGCAGCCGCGAAGTACCTGAGTATGAACAGAACTGAGGAAATGATGCAAGTCCTCTCAAAACTTGATATAGAAGATCAGCTTGAGTTTCTGAAGTCTCGTGGATGCTTACACCAAGCAGCAGACTTATTGAAAAGGGAAGGTCGAGAGGAAGAAGCTGCAAAGTTAATGAAACAACATGGGTTTGCTCTGGAGGCAGCCAACCTCACAGCTACAGAAGAGTTTCGTGCATCATGTCTGCTTGCTGCAGCACGTGCTAGTGTGACTCACGCTTCAGAATCTGACCTGGTGGACGTGGAGGTCATCCTAGAAGAAGCCCTCGAACTTTGTGAACAAACTGAGCAGAAGTCTGGCATTGCTGAGGCTGTGTTTTTGCAGGGAGCTCTGAAGGGAGACTTCACAAAGCTGAGCAGTGCATACAGTCAGTTCCTATCTCTGAATCATTCAGCTGGTGCAGCTGAAGCTCTCTTTGCATTATCTCGCTGCAGCGCTCCTAGCCAGAACATCCTCTTTATGGCAACGCGCGGCTTAATGGCTCTTCTGAGTCTGGTTAGGGGTTTGAAGAAAGCAGCCACCAATGCAGAGAAAGATATGGTGAAGTCGTGCTTTGCCTATTTTGGGATTGTACCAACAGGTGACACTTGCCAGGTGTCTCAAAATGAAGCTGAACCTATTCTCAAGTTTTTGTCAGACAAGCCAAGTCTAAAAGAGAGGAAAACAAAAGGTGATTTCTCAGTAAGCACAGAGGAGGTGAAATCAGCTTTAAAGCAGCACTTGTTAAGCAGGTTGTGTTCTATCACCCGTGAGTTACTAAACAAGCATTACCCTGATATTTGTATGAAGTTCATTGCTGGCTTGAACTGTGAAGACAAAACCTGTAAGGGTTACCATAAGCCCTTGTTGCGCCATGAAGCAAAGACAATATTTCAATGTAAAATGCATCTGGTGGCCATAAATGGACTGCTGTTGGAAGCCACACGCACTTTCCCTAAAGAGCTACTGAGTCAGTGCAAAACCTTTGATGATGTTTTGACTGCTGACAAATACGCATCGTGTAAAGCCCTCCTAGGAATATTTTTTCCTAATCATTTTCATTTGAGAATACTGTCTGAGAACCCAAAGGCATGCAAAGAAATACTGGAATTCAGTAATATTATTTCCAAACCCTGTAGAGCGATGTTGAAGGAGTACATCGCATTTAAGTTTAAAAATGAAGACACTGCAGCCAGAAGAGAATCAACTGACTTGTGGCTAAGTGCCATGCAAGTTTTCATCTTATCTTCGGGATATCCTGAAGAATTTGAGAAACTTCTTTCCAAGGAAGAGGATGATTATAACAAAGAACTAAACTTTGCTTTGTTAGAGGCAAAAAGCTCTCCAAAGACCAAAGGCCAAGGAGGAAAGGCCAAAGGAATAGAGGGCAGACATGGTATGTTGCTACCTGACAAAAATGCCGAAAATGCAGGAAGAACACATTTGTGCTTCATTCGACTTCTTGAAAATTCACTTGAGCAATTCTATGTTCATAAGAACCCAGAAAACTGTAAAAGGTTTTTTTTCCGTTTTATGAATGTCCTGGTCAAGAAATGCACAAGATACCTGATTCCAAGCATAGGAAATACTGTGATGTTGTTGGAATTCCAGTATATTCTCTGTTGTGCTGTCCTGATGCGTCTCTCCAAGAACATTACTCTCTGCTTTCCAAAGAGCTACATTGCTCTCATTCATTACTGGGAGTTTTTGTTCAGAAGCAAGGACCATAACAAAGAAGTTAGAGACACATTTTCTATTATACAGGAGTACAGACCAAAGGATGCATATGTAGCTGTGCAGAATTTCACATTTCATCTCTGTTACCTAGCAGAAGTTTTGTGTGGAGTTCATGGAAAGTTCAATGTCCTTCTAGATGCTTTCGAGGATCCCGATTGCATAACTTCAGGGGAGGCTGAGCGGACTGTAGTGCTGTGCTTAGTGATGCTACTGAATGCTGACCAGGTGCAGAGTTCTAAACATAGAGCCCTCTTATGCCACCACTTTCCTGAAATCAAGGTGATGCTGAAATCAATGAGAAAAGACTCTCCCTCTAAAGTGCCTGAAAGATTGCTGAGGGTTGTGGAACAAGTGAGTGATGCTACACACACGAGAGAAATCGTTGCAGGCCTTCAGGAGCTGCTGACAGAACGAGATGCAGAGTACTTGGTTGACTGCCGATGGAAGTGGGACTCTGTGTACACTCAGGGGCATTCACCCATAAGGGGCATCCTGTATGAAACCATAAACCTTGACAGGTTTATCACCTCTTTGGATAAGACAGAATACACTGACGAGCTAGAAAAGGAACTTGAAAGCGTTCATTGCTTAGAGGACCAGAAGGATCCCCTGGAAGTCATTGCGCTCAGCAAGCAACAGAAACAAGAGCAGAAAGCATCTGCTCGACGCCAGCTGCGTCGTGTCTTCCATTTTGTTTCTCTGTGCATGAAGTGGAAAAGGAAGGCCTGCTCCAAAGCTGACCATGTTGCAATGGAAGGAGAGGAATTTTTATCACAGATCTTCAAAAAAGCAGATATTGACCAAACCCAGTGTGACCTCTGTGGAGTCAGATTTATCCAAAGCTCTGAGAACTATTTCAGCCGTTCAGAAAGCGTGGAGGCAGACACTTCTGAAACTGTGACACCAACAGAGAACAGTGGTGAAGAAAAGTTGCATGCAGAACAAAATGCAGCTTCTGTGGCCAGTGAGGCTTACACAGAGCACAGAAACACAGATGACCACAGAAATAATAATGCTGCCTACAGATACTACGCTGACTTTTTCAGAAGAAAGATAGATCCAGTAATACATGATGGACTGGAAGTAGTGGAGGCCATTACAGAAAAGACCTACACCCAAGACCATTTAGCATATAAAGAAGGTTCCAACTTACGCCAGAGAAAAATCAAAGAAAATATTAAGAAGATTTCAGATGCAGTAGAGGAAATCTATGAGAAAAAAGACTGGGCTAAAGGTAGGAGCTTTCCAGTTTTCTTTTAAACAATTTAATATGTCATTTGTGGCCAAACTTCTAGACCTGACAAAGCTCCATTTGAAAATCTAAATGTGGTCAAGAGAAAGGTATTTCCAGGTATGTCATGCAGCTGAGGAAAAGACGAACTGAGACAGTTAAAATATTGTAAAATATCTTCTCACCTCTTCTAAACACAAAGTAATACATCAGATGGTACAGGTAAAGTGAATAGTGGTGAATTTGAGTAAATAGTAAAGTGAATGGCGGGAGTCTTTATCAGGGAGTGTAATGATAGGATAATGGTTTTAAACTGAAAGAGGGTAGACTTAAGTTAGATATTAGGGAGAAATTCTTCCCTGTGCAGGCGGTGAGGCGCTGGCCCAGGGTGCCCAGAGCAGCTGTGGCTGCCCCCTCCCTGGAAGGGTTCAAGGCCAGGTTGGACGGGGCTGGGAGCCCCCTGGGCTGGGGGAAGGGGGCCCTGCCCAGGGCAGGGGGGTTGGAACTAGATGATCTTTAAGGTCCCTTCCAACCCAAACATTCTATGATTGTATGAATTTTAACTACATGATTGGATATGCTGTGTTCTCTGAATTTATACAGTCTTACAGCAGCCTGTTGCATTTGACCAGGTGATCTTCACTGATTTTTCTACTGTTTCCTAGTTATTTAGTTCTGCCAGCCATAGTAGTTTGGATGTGCAGGGTAGAGTGTTCGGAGTACTTGGAGCCTTTGGTTAAGGATATCTCTGACTAGTCTGCCCTTGAATTTGTAACTCTGCTAGGGCTTAGCAAAAGTGGATACCTAACTACAAATCTGTGGGGTGTCAGGCAGTTAAAAGCAACCCTGGTATTATAAAGTCCAGTAAATTATGGTACTTGAGATATTTTGATATTTGAATCCCCCCCACCCCATATGCTTAAAGCACTATTCTGCTCTGATTTTTGCAAGCAAAAATGAATCACCAAATGAGTAGCCTAGGAGCAAAATTGTTTGGGGTACTTGCTGTGGGAAAGTGACATCTTAAATCAAAACATTGTTACTGGCTTTAGTTGTAGAAATCCACCAGCCCTGTCAAGCTGTCACTTTGCCTGTGATGTCTGACAGTAATGAAAAACTGTAATATTTGATATGTTCATCAGCTCTGATCAGTGAAATATGTTAAATTTCTAACAAAATGTTAGGTGGTGGCCTTCATGTGTAAGCTTTCTCTTTACTTCTAGTGGAAAGCTTTTATAGATGGATGAAGTCCATAAAGTTTTGCTGCTCATTTAGTTGGCTTTATGTTCAATGAACCATGATAGTGATGAATATGATAGATGTAGTAGGATTAATTAGGTAATAGTTGATTTTGTTATGACAATTGCTTGATGAATGTTAACTTGTTCTTCCATTCAGTGAAAATATATTTACAAGAATTATTTGCCTTAGAGATTACTTTTCCCTCACTTTATAACAAGCATTTTTCAAGTCCTTGATGGTGCAGTTAAGCAAGGGCTGCAACATCTCAGGGTCCGTGTTTTACTTTGACTTGTATAATTTCAGAGGGATAATGAAAGCCAGGAACTTTAATAATAAAAAAAAATAGATAAACCAGAATATTTTCAGGAGTTTCAGGTATCCCTAAAGGGGACAGCACAAGGATGGAGTGCTTCTCCTCTGATAATTCTAGTAATGTTGATAGGAATGGGGACTGATACATACAGCATCTTCATCCCTAGTAGTGAATTTGCCTGCATGTGAGATCACTGGTAACTGAGGCTTCTTGCTTTGCAGCCTCATCATACAACAGAGCTGTGTAACTTTGTTGTGTTCTTGGCTTTTAGCTGATGTCCATCTCTCACTAGTGTTCTTGCAGAATGTTAATTGTGTTCTATTTCAGCCGAAGAAATAATAACCAAACATGCCAACAAACTGGTTGTCACCATTGATGAGGCTCATAAGTGGCTGAAGAAAATGGACTCTCACAGGATAAAAGAAGGTATGTTTTCAAGTTACACAGGTTTCCGTGCCCCCTAGAGAACACTGTTCGGTAATAGTCTCTTAGCATTACTTTAGTCTCCAAGGCAGCAGTGTGGTGGGTATTCACTTACCCTCTAGGCAGCAAGAAATGGGCACCTCCATAGGGGCACTCTGGAAAACATGAATTAGCCAGTCTTTCCTCAGTGGCTCTTTCAAACAGAGCATGAGCCTTGCAGCTGGTTAGAGGGTGGCCAGACTGGAGCAGGCCTCCTCCCGCGGCCCTCGGTGGGTCCCAGCCCACACAAAGTCTGTGTGTGTTTGTGCACACAGTTCGTGCACGTGTAACTGTGGTTCAAGTGCAGTCTTCAGGATGGGGGGAACAGGAGAGAAGCTATCTTCATCTTCACCAGTAAGATAGTGCTGTTTCTTAACTCTGCTGCAGCAGTGCATTTATGGGCAGTGTGGATCAAAGTTCTTGGAAGCCAGCATCCTAACACAGCTAATCCTTAGCTTGCTTTTCAGCCTTCCGTGAAAAAATATGATATGCAGTTGTTTTTCTTTTGTTTTCACTTCCATTTCACTTGGTTTCACGCCAGAAGTAACACACATTGATGCAGTCTATTGCATCACAGACCTCTGAGGACAAGCTTAAGACTTCATTGTGCCCTACACGTTTGTTTAGGTTTAAGCACGTATTTAGGTGGTGGGGTTGCAACAATTGCATAAAAAGGCAGCAATCAAGTGATCAGGCTTACAAATTCCACTATATATAATGCTTTAAAGTAGCTCTATTTTAGAAAATTTGATTACGATAAAGCATTGTGTTACACCTTCCTGTTCCAAGAAAGATATAGTTAATAAGACTACATGGGAGTGCTCTCATAGTCTTACAAGCAACATTACAGTCTGTCTTTGAAGTCAGTAAGCAAATGTATTATCTGCTGAAGCTGAGCCTTGAGAGAGTAGAGACACACTCCTTAAAAAAGTCAAAAGCAGTAACAATAGAAACAGATTTTCAATGTAAAAATTAATTACTAGTGCAGCAAGTGGCTTAGCAGCTTCTCTTTCCTAGCAGAGTTCTTAAGCATATTGTCATATTAAGTTCAATACTTCTTAAACATGATTATAGACATTGCTGTATATATGTATTGCTGACATACAAAATACCAGTGACATAGCTTGTCATACTATTAGGAGGAAAAGGTGTTGGGGTTTTCCATTCTACATTAATTTCTTGTTTTTAATGTAGGCTTCGTGCATGATAGAGACTTGGAAAATGAGGTGGAAGATGAAAGCATGGCTTTTGAAGAACTTGTCTATAAAAAACCCTCAAGAAAAAAAGGAAGATGTGGGAAATGGTAATTGGAAAAAATATACAGGTGGCTATTCTATCCTCTTAACAATCTAATTTTAGAATAAAAAAAAATGTTAAAAATGAAAAAAAAGAGGGAGATGGGGTCAGAAATTAGAAGAGTCTGAAGAAAAAGAGCAACCCTAGGTTATTGGGTTTTTTATCATCTGTATTGTGTCGGAATAATGCGGTGATTGTGTAGTTATTAAAACCTATGACATGACAAATTTCCTTTCAGACCTATGTAGTAGCTTGAAAGTAACAAAAAGCCAAAGGAGAAAAAAAAAAACAAAAAAAAAAAAAAAAACAAAAAAACAATAATGTTTCTGCCTTACCTCAGGGGTATTTTTCCACTCGGTCTTCTTTTATTCTTCCCTGTTAATCTACATCATCATTCTTCTGAGCTGGAATACTCAGAAAAATAGGAGGATAGTTTCTCTGATTTTAAGAGGTTTTAATCAGTGCTTTTAGGTTACCATTGTAAACCTACTGTGTTTTGAGTCTTGTTCAGTTTGGAAATTTTTGAGTCTTCAGATGAGATATTTACAATATCTTTTCTATTTTTATAAACAAGAACAGTAATTTCTAAACACGTATTTTTGACAGTGTACATACTTATAATTAAATAGGTAAGAAAGTTATGGATTGTCTTCTATGTGATCAAGTTTTGATATAAACCTTTACCTGTACATATTTGTTGTGAAATATAGATAATCTTTCTTTAAAAGACCATTACACATTTTAAGTGTTTTGTAAGTTTTAATTCATAAAGGGCTTTTTGTAATGTATAATAATGTTTTTATAAAACCTGTAAGATTTTTAAAATCACTTGATATTGTCTTATTTTTTTGAATGCTTTCTGAAAGCCGTATGTGACTGACTGCATGTGTGAGATTTACAAGTTGGGTCCAGAGTATCAGTTCATATTGACGCTGGTTTACTTTTGTGATTTCAGTGTCTCCAACATCCTGCAGTCTCCTATAACAACATGTTAAATTAATGCATTTGCATGTTAAACATAATTAGTTAGAGTATTAATTAGTTGTTGAAATATTTTGCCTTGAAAAGGGAGCCACTTTGTATACATAACAAATTGTTTCAATAATCAACCTTTTGCCAAAAACTTGATAACTTGTTATTATGCTCAATGCCGTGGAAGTGGGACATTTTACATGGGTAAAAATGAAATGCTACTGTAGAATGGAGCAACGTGGGCAGCAGTAATAGTTATCTATTGCACTGTAATTGCTGTTGTCTACCAGAAGACTTAGTAATAAGTTCTTCCTCTTAAAGAAGCCTTATTGCTTAAACAAGCATCTAGAAGATAGTTTAAAACCATACATTGATGAAATGTAATGCTAATCACTTGCACTGTATAGAAATCAAGAATTAAGAAAGTTGGATCATTAATGTAACTTCTTTGGATTTGTTTTCTATAATGATTTGTGGTTTGTATTTGAGATTACTCCAAGAAACATTCCTGATATAGTTTCTCGGCTTGAGTATTTACATTTGCAGCAGTAAATGCTACCTAAACTTTTTAAGGACAATTACAGTTTAAAAATCCTTGCTGACCACAGTTTAAAGATCTAGTGATCATACATTTTCTTTCTTTTTATGGGAAAAATGAAGCTTTAAAAACATCATTGCAATACACCAAGCAAAGAAAAAACAAAGAAGGAAAGGGGAGAAGTTATATTGCATCAAGAACTTCATCTCGGGTACATTTCCTTGGTGCAGGGACCTGTGATCCTTGGTATGGTTCCGTAAAAACCACTGGTCATTCTCTGACTTTGAATCAGCACTCCCAGATGGCAGTTACTTCCATAGCATGTGAAGTGCTGAATGGCAAATAAATTTTAGGGCTTGTGGTTTCAGAGCTATATTAGGCCAAGATTTCAGTAACATTCAAGCAGAGATGGGAAATCTACTTACACCTCTAGTCCAACATCAGTGCTTAAAGGGTTCTTTCCCCTATGATGGTGTGCATAAATAAACATAAACCTTTCTTTTCCATGTGAGTCTCTTCAGATAATAATGATCTGTGTGCATTAATCCTATTTGAGTGGTTAATTAGCAAAAAGGGCTTGTCCAGATACACCCTTGTGGTTTGTTGTTTTGGGGTTTTATTTAAAAATCTTTCTCACCCCTGATGGAGGCTCCAGTGTTCTGGCACCAGCTAATGCCTTTGACTCAAAGGGCTTAAGAGCCATGACAGTTGCCTTGGTATGTGTGAGATGCATATTGCACCGAAACCTTGGAACTGAGTAGTGGATGCAGGCTGTCAAGCTAATCCACCCACTTCTGCCTGTCTAAGCCATGTTGAGTTGAAAAGAATTTAGAAAAGGCTTCAAAAGCACAGGAACTGGTGACTTAAAAAATCTCTCTCCCTGGTGATACAAAAATGACACCTAAATGAAAAAGAAGAACAAACTATTTACTGTAGTTGGAAGACATGGCTGTGGTCTCAAAGATGACAATTATCCAAATTCCAGCATCCTAAAGAAAAAAATCTCTTGCTTGCTTGAACCTCTTATTAATACAGATGACTGTAAGTGATGGGTACTTTCCACCTTTTTCCTTTATTCCTCTGAAAAACATTGTTTCATAATATTGCCCACAATTTTATTCCAAAACATTTCCTAATGATTAGCTGTTACAAACTTTGACTTGGCAAAACATTTAAACACTTGCTGGTTTTTAAGTATTTGCTTTCATTCCTAAAGGGAAGCCTTTTGCCTTTATGCTCACTGAGAATGTAGGAGGGAAGAAATTGTCTTATCTTAGTGTAAATAAAAGGTTTTCCTGCCAGCAATCCCCATGACATTATTTGCTGAATACCGATTATGAAACACCCTTCCTTATATGAAAGGGGACGACAGCCATTGCTGCTGGCCTTCTACCTTTGTTGTTGGAGCATTCAGTTTTCATAAAAACCTTCACACCTGCACTTACTAAAGCATCTCTGGGTCTTGCCGTGTATTAAACGCATGGTACATATATTGTTCAGGCTTTCAGTTAGCATGTAACTCAGAAATGTATTAGCAAAGTACCAGACAACACCTGTACTCTTTACTTGTTTAACTTGGTGTAGCAGGTGTCAGAAATTTTGAATGTCTTCACTAGTGCCCATTTATAAGAGCTGGTGTGGTGGGGAATGGAACAGTTTACATACTTTATTTTGTAGTTTTCATGACTCCATTTGTATGCCAAGATTTCTGACTGTACACATACTCAAATAAAGTCAGTGTGAAACACTTAGGGTTAGATACTTAATACACCAAAGCAGTTGAATTTTCAGATTAATAGCCATTACAAACAAATACTCTGTGAGAATTAAAGCATTTATTTCAGTTTTCTGATGTGGACTTCTGATGCCTGTGATCTGAGCATGATACGGGTATGTGCATAGGTGATATGTATGCATACTCTCATCTCTGCTGTGTTGAGCCTGCCTTGTTGCAGGAGGATGGGCTGCAGTATCTTTGAAGTCTGTTACGATTGCTCTTTGCTGCTTGGTCTGTGGAAATGGTGTTTGGAAAGAAATTGGTAGAAGTCTCTTACCTACCCATCTTCCTTTTAGTCTGCATCCAAAGTTTCATGGCTTAAAGATGCGCTTGCTAATGATTTAAATAATACTCCAGACATTTATAAGTCACTTTCATTAGGCTTCTGATGAACTGGCTTCTAAATTGTCCTGAGTAAACCAGTGCTGAAATTTTAGCAAACAGTTGACAGAATTAAGTTACCTCTAAGACATTCTGCAGGCCAATAAATAACAGTGATGCCAGAAAATGGTTTTCATTAAACCTTGTAGAAGTAAATCCTTGTAATTCCCTTTTGTAAAGGGGTGAGTAGGTCTTTACTGAAGCTGTTACACCAGTTCACTGCTATATGCCTCTTTGCAAACTATTTATTGTAACATTTGCTTGTCTTGTGCTAGACGTGATGTATGAAATCATGGGATGAGGTTTTTACCTTCAAACAATCAGGGATAGAACATTTGAGCCGTTTAAAGGTTGGCTGCTTCCCTAGAAATAGGCAGGTTAGAACAAAACACTGCAAGGAGATCTGCTGCTGACTTGCCTTGTTGGCTGAGATATGCTGAGCTTTGAGTTACTCCAGTATTGGCAATGTCTCAGTCAAAGGCAGTATATATGTAGGTTGGAGTAATCTACATTCATTATACAGCCTTTTTCTCAGGAAGTTTACATTTTTAGTAGTTTTGGGCATGGTCCCCAAAAGTAGAAGAGCCCTTGAATGTGGAATTGCTTAAAAGGACTCTGAAGCAGAAGTAGATGAGGTGCCTATTTCCTATGGATACAGCTGGGTATCTCAGTATGGGGTATGGAGCAAAAGAGCACTGAGCTGAGAGGTACTGGTGATCTGAAATGGTGTTTCAGATGTCAAAAGACATGCAGAAAGGAAAACACTGAACACGGGTGAGTTTCGGACCCTTTCTATCATTGGAGCTTTGACTGTGGAGTCTGGGAACAGGAGAGTGTCTGAAGTATGCATCATGGAAACCTTCAGTAGTCTGTCTGCCAAAAGAACAGATCGGAATTCTTTATTTTCTCCAGGAGACAGAAAAAAGTTTACATGGAGGAAGATGTGATGATGAGTACCTATGTACCAGCAGAGTAGCTGGAGTACTTCTCTGGGCTGTTGGGACAGCAGGGTTTCAAACTCGGCCCTCCCAGGAGGATGCTCTGAGCCATGTGCTGGTGTGCCTGAAGGAGCATTCACTGTGCAGCTGCTGCTGAAGGTGGCCCAATTTGGGACTTTTGGGGGCTGGAGAGAGGGTGGAAGAGGGACCCATTCAGGAAGGAAAGATGTGGACTGCAGTTGCAGGTGTCAACACGAGTAGTCCTACATGTGAAAAAACAACCAGCCCTTGGAAGAGGACCCTGTACCTCCAGTGTTAGTGGTGGTTGGTTGCTAGAGCAGGGTTGAGCCTGAATTCATTGTGCAGTGAAACAGCTTCAGCAGGAGGGGTGGAAATGCCAGCAGCCTGGTAGCCAGGCTCGTGCTCCACTAAGCTATTGGAGATGTGGAGTTAAACCTGGATCTCTTGTTCCCTGGGAGAATGCTCTGCTTCAGAGGCTAGTCAGTAGTGACCTATTGTGGTTTGAGCCTGGTCTACAGCTAAACACCACACAGCTGCTCACTCCTCCATTCTCTTCCAGCAATGAGAAGGGACAAATGAGCCAGGCTTGGGATTTGAGATAGGACCGGGAGGGGAAAATCACCCATTATGGTCATGGGCAAAAGGCAGACTTGTTAGGAAAAGAAAAAAAGAACGTACATTTATTACAGACACTAACAACAACACTTAACAGAGTCGGATGGTGAGAAGCATTACCACATCTTGAGAACACCTTCCCCCCCACCCCTCCCTTCTTCCCGGGCTCAGCTCTGCTCCCAATATCTCTACCTCCTCCCCCCAGGGGCACAGGGGCAGGGAATGGGGGGGTACAGTCAGTGCTGCGGTTTCTTCCATCTTCAGTGGGGGGAGCTTCTGGAACTTGTTCCCCCTGCTCCATCGTGGTCCCCCTCTCACAGGAGACAGTCCTCCACAGGTTTTCTCCAACATGAGTCCCTCCCATGGGCCGCAGCGTTTCCTTACACTGCTCCAGCGTGAGTCACCAACTTTCTCCAAATGGAGTCCCTCCCACGGGCTGTAGCCCTTCCCGAGCTGCTCCGGCGTGGGACTCCCCCACATGCTGCAATCCTCCCAGTGCTGAATTAAAGCAGCGGGGCTGCCTTTTCCCACAAGACCCCGGCCTTCTTCGGGTACAGTCACCTTGGTCATCCAGGCAAAACCCCTCACAGGCCATAAATCAATGTCTGATCCACCGTAGATCTTCATGGGTGGCGGGGGGGGCCGCCCTGCCGTCTCCCCACAGGATACAGGGAGGTCTCTGCTCCGGCACACCTCCCCCCTCCTTTCTTCCTCCGTTCCTCCACTGACCTTGGTGTCCACACAGCTGCTGCAACTCCTCCCCACAAGTCCCACTGCTCGTTACCACGTCCCTTCTTAAATACATTATCGCAGAGGTGCAGCTGATTGGCTCAGTTTTGGTGCAGAGGTGGAGCTGACTTGGAGCTGGGGGAGCTTCAAAAGCTTCTTGCAGGGAGCCGCCCCCATAGCCCCCTCCCCTGCTACCAAAAACCCCACCACTCACTCAAATACAGGACATGACCATTCTGTGGTTTATGGGGATGCCCACAGTGTGCAAGAACCTTTGGAAGTACTGTACTGTGCTAAGTTAGAAAATGAGAAAGAACTGCCTGTTTTCTGGATCCTGGTTGGATTTGCAGGTAGGTAACATGCTCAGCTGCTCAACCTTGTCAAAATGCGGGGTGTATGTTGGAGGTACTGGTTCAGACCAAGGGTGGTGCAGACTGATATCTTGGTTTTGGCGTTGGCCAATTGCTAATCCCACCCGTTTTCTTCTGAAGCCCTTTCCCTTCCTCCAGTCAATCTGCTTCTTTACAGGGCCAAGTTCAAAGTGACATTACCTTCAAGGCAAAGAATGCTGTTTTACAGGCCATCCCCATACTGATGAGGCTACTCTTGCCCTTGTGTCCATTAAGTGCAGATATTAATATCGCTTACATAACTCCACTAATATTTAGAGTTGGGCGATTTTAGGACAGCTGATGCTTTCCAATCTTATATGATAATATTTTACTGAAAAGTGCTAGAGTAAGTTAGCAGTGCTGTTGTATTTATTTGAACCATGATAATCGGGCAGATATAAAGCATTTACGTACTTCGTTTTAACAAATCATGCAGAACAGTGTTTGCCACAGTTCCTAGATAAAACATGGTCAAGTTTCCTTAAAGATTCACTTTGAGCAGTAAACAAGGAACTCTTGGCTGGAGACCTGCATAAAGAACAGAGGGATCAAGCTGAAGTGAATAAGTAATGAAAAAATAGTCTGCCTCCAAGTCACTTTGCTTGTCTCTGTAAATAACATGCCTGTGCAACTCTCATTTCTTCTTGACCCTGTCACTTTGAATGTGTTTGTTGTTCAATCCAATGCTGTTCAGACAAGATTAAACACCAGCTAATAGGAAGGAATTTCCCAATGTCACATTCACAGTTTCTCACCACTCTTTACTTTGGCTGGAGAAGTCTGATGTTTAAAAAACGATCAACTTGTAGTACAATGAACTGCAGCCGTGAGCTGAAGTATTTATAGCTCTTTGCTCTGCAGCAGTCTTGTAGGGGGAAAGAAAAGACTTCAGTTGTTGTGTGGAATATTTTTTGTGTTAGGAAGTAAAATTAGATCTCTGTTTGTTACTGAACTGTGAATATGAGTGTGGAGAGGAGAATTTTGCCTATTTCCACCACTAGCTCTAAGGACATAAGTCCTCCTTCATCCCTTCACTTTGTCCATTTTGTTTTGACTAGTTCAGAAATCACTATCTCCAGTTATTTTTGCTGGAGGATCTTTTTGAAGCTCTTGTGGCTTGTGAGTCATCAAGATAAAGATGCCAAATCTTCAATAAGTAGTGTTTTGGGGACCTAGGTTAGATAAACCCCTTTGGCCAGAAGGAGCTATAACGCTCTTGAGCAGCTTGAAGCTTGACCAAGGTTGGAGTCACCACTTGGGACTCGTCACCATTCCCCAACCAGAAAACATTTTCTTCTAGGTATAATGAAATTTTAATATGAACTGTGATCATCTGGTAATATATCCTAGGGCTTTAATTGGCATCAGTGATGCATCTGCTTTTCTGGTTGAAGCCATTTGATAGGAATTGCTAGAGCACGGTCTGAAGAAGTTGCGTTCTTACAGAAGAAAGGACAGTCTTTCGCGGTTCAAAGCTGTAGTGTGGACCTCCATATTCCTGCTAACTAAAATTGGGGTGAGAGAAGAGAAAATGCCACTTGTCTGGCGCTTCTCTGCCAGCCGTCCCCATCTTGTACTTAGTCTGTAAAGATTACTAAAAAATTTGCTGAAAATGTGGAATAAAATTACCTACCTAGTTCAATTGATAGACCATCATACATACTTGGGAAAGATACTTCCTTTGACCATTCAAACTCAGAGCTAAGTCCCAAACTGTACAAACATTTATCTTTATGAAAACTGCAATATTCAGAATAAGAATGAAGTTGGGAGGTTTTGCCTCAATGATAAATGAGGCAACGTCTCCCTTTTTCATCTAATTACTCTTGTGTTTTCTCTTTAAAAAGTATCTCAAGCCCAGACCTTGAGATCTGGACTAGAATGCTGCCTGAACACAGGTTTTTATATTCCCTTTAATTATATGTGGTGGACAATCTTGTATCATGACCACGAGCTTTCCCCATTTCCTCATAGGTCCAGTTCCACAGATTTAGAAGTGTTGCATACTGGCTTAAAACCAAAGGATTG